GCAAAGTACCAGCAGTGACACTGAGGATGGAGGCTCAAAGTCCCCAGTCCTCACCTTCTCACGTGTTTACATTCTGGAACCTGAAGGTGGTAGAGGAATAAAATGGCAATAAAGATGAGGTTCCTTGGGTGGGAAGCTCCAGATGGCTTCTTTACCAGCCCCAGAACAGGCCACTGCAGCTGATTTCCATAGATACTAGATTAGATAGTCTGCCTAAACCATGCAGAAAGTGTCTCAAGGTGGGGTCACTCACTTACTCATTGACCTGATCACAGGGGGACTTTTCTCTCCAATTCAGGCCTTGGGCCCAGAAGTAGATGGAAGTGGTGCCCGGCAGTGGAGGCTATGCCTTGACTTACTTTGTGTAAGTCTTAAACAATCATTGCAGACTTGAGGGTTGCAGCAGAAGCTCTGCTGGGACAGGTCAGAAAGTTATCTTGTGGTCCTGCAAGGGCTCACACCTTCCTTATACAGGGCTGTCCAGTGATCAGGATGGCCCTATGGGCCATATGTGTCCTGCAGGTTCATTATTCATTCAACAAGTACTTCTAGGCACTTACTATTGGTCAGACAGACAGGTGAGTCCTGGGACTACAGACAGAAATGGTCCCTGCCCTTATGGAGCTTCTAGTCCAGGAGAAAGGCAGGCAAACAAGCAAACGCAAGGAGCTAAATGTGTAATGAGAGTTTGTGTTAGAGCTGTGAAGGAAATGAATAGAATGCAAAACATAAAACGGATAGTGACTCTGGTGTTAAACAGGTTGGGCAAGGAAGGCCTCTCTGAACAGTGACCTGCAGGTTGTTGGGGCAGGTAGGGAACCAGCTGTATTTGGAAAAGGAGGTAGAGGTTTCCAGACAAAGCAAGAGCAGGTACAAAATTTCTGAGGGGTCAAGATCTTGGTGTGCTGGAGGACCTGAAAGGAGGCTAGGGTGATTGGCAGAGAGGAAAGGAGGAAGTTTGAAGAGTCAGGCCTGAGTTGCGTCACTTGACTCAAGTAGAGAATTTGGATTTGATTTGGAGTATAAGTGTAAATCATGGAAAAGCTTATGTGACAGGAATGAAAAGATGCCTTATGGGATGACCTGGCAGCTGGACAGTGATTCTGTGGTGTGGGAAGAGAAGGGAAGATGAAAACAGAAGAAAATCCAGCATCTCTAAGCTGCTCCTCCCGAAGACCAGAGATGCCTTAAAATCATCTATAGTCCTCTTGTTCTGGGGATGTTTTCCAAGAAAATATTGGGCAAAGGCACAAAGAGGTGTGTGCACCAATATTTATCACAGCTTTATTTATCGTAGAAGAAAAATATAAAATATAGTAGAAGAAATATAGTAGAAGGAAAAACTGTGTCCATTAGCAGGGAATTGTTATACAAAGTTTTGCTCAGACATATAATGGAATTATATGCAGCCTTCAAAAATGCCGATGTCTGAGATATACTGTTAAAGAAAAAAAATTTATAAAATCATATCTTTGTTTTAAAAGGATGTTGTAAGAATAGAAAAAGGCTGGGGCCGGCCCGGTGGCGCAGCAGTTAAGTTCGCACGTTCCGCTTCTCGGCGGCCCGGGGTTCGCTGGTTCGGATCCCGGGTGCGGACATGGCACTGCTTGGCAGCCATGCTGTGGTAGGCATCCCACGTATAAACTAGAGGAAGATGGGCACGGATGTTAGCTCAGAGCCAGGCTTCCTCAGCAAAAAGAGGAGGACTGGCAGTAGTTAGCTGAGGGCTAATCTTCCTCCAAAAACAAAACAAAACAAAACAAAACAAACAAACAAAAAAGAATAGAAAAAGGCTAAAATAGATAATATGTCAATGGTGGTGTTTTCTGGTGAGTAGAATTAAAACTAATTTTTATCTTCAAGAAAAGCAGAGTTTTAAGCAGGAGCATAAGGTGGTCTCAGGCATGTTTTTGAAGATTACTGTGGTTGCAATGAAGAACATATTGTTAGAAGGGCAGGTGAAGCAGAGGAAGAGGATACTTCAATGGTCAGATGAGAAATGACGGTGTTTGCACTACCAGGGAGGCAGAGAGAAGTGGACAGAGTTTATGTCTAATTAGGAAGTAGGAACAATAGAATTAAATATTTAATAAACTCATACAGTATCTCAGATACTGTTCTAGGTGCTAAAGATGTAACAGTGGATAAAGCAGATACAATCCTTGTCCTGTTCATTAAGGCAATGCGGTGGACAGTGGGGTGCTGGAGCTGGTTTGTACGGGCTCACAAGAGCTCGTTGTCAAATTTTCAGGAATTTTGATGACTGGTTGTTAAAACCCAGCTATTATTCAAAATTAGATTATGTAAACTTAAAGTTAAATACATCTTATTAAAATCAAAGATAATAAATACTCAAACTTCATCACTTCCTAATTATTTTACTGCATTTTACAATTACCTGTGCTCTCGAGGTTATTTACATCTATCATATCTGCATGGTGGAAATACCACATACAGTAGTACATTACTGTGCATTTCTTCCCAACTCCACTTTTGATGAGGTCCTGCTGGTAGCTTGAAATTGGCCATGGTAGGAGTATTTACACCACAGAAATCAACAAACGCTACACATCAGGGCTTCTTTCCCTCCAGAAAGCTAGCTGTTAAACGTTTACCAGTAGCCCCCTTGCTAGAGTAAGGAGCATGCCCCGAGGAGTCAGGCAGCCAGAGTTTAATCATGACTCCACTACTTGTTAACAATGGGATTTGGCTAAGATACCTAATACTGGTTTCCTCATTTGTAAAATGGGACTAATAATACCATTTATATACGACTTCATGAAATAATCTATATCAAGTTCTTAGCACAGTGCCACACATATACATGTGCGTAATAAATATGAGCAAATTATTATTATAATTGTTTATTCATAGGGAAGCAAGACTGGACTATGCAGGAAGCTGCGTTATAGACAGCAAGAGAAAAAGTGCATGCTGGAGGAGTCAGTTGGGAGCAGCGAGCTCTTTTTGGTGCCTGGAGCTTTATCCCAAGCCTTCCAAGCCCAGGGAAAGGGAGAATCCAGTCTCTGCTCCCTGGAGTACCCAGGCACAGCAGCAGGCCTGGCACACCCAGTGTCAGCAGGCCCCAGGAGAAGGGACTGAGGTCAGAGCACTCAGATTAGCGGCAGGGCAGGCTGGACATAGCCATTCCAAGGGACAGTGGTCAGTGTCCAGCTTAAATGTGGCCCCTGATAATATAGGAGGAAGCTCTGATCATGAAGACATTTGCAGGCCCATATTCAGAGCCCCTTTAGGGGAAGCCAGAAAGCTGCTGGTTAAGATGTCTGAGAAGACTACACGGAAAAGGAGAGAGTTGGGTTTTTCTGGGCTTGAATTCCCCAGGACATCAAGCAAGAGACTGAGGTCCCCAAACGCGCTCAGGGGTTTGCAGAGGAAGGGCATGTGCCACTAAGGCCCCACAGCCAGGCTGAGAGGAGTGAGGGAGGAAAGCTGTGGAGAGCAGTTTCTGGGAGGAGAAGTCCTGGGCTCTGGCCTCTGGTGGAAGGGTGGCTGCGCCCTGATCCATGTGGCCTCCAGGGGGCGCTCAGACCCAAGTATGGACAAGGGCTTTCTCCTCAGCTCAGGCCAAAAGGCTGGGAAGGGCTCAGGACAAGCAGAAACGGCCACCCCAAATGAGGAGAGAGGAGCAAAGCTGGCAGCTGACTCTGCCTATATCTGTCTTTAGATTGAGCAGTTGAGTCTCAGGTGGAAATGGGGCAGGCTTTGGGAGTGGCCCCAGGGAGTACTGAGTATAGCAGGTACTAGAGATGCAGGTGAGATCCCAGGGCTCGAGGAGGAGAGGGATGTGGGGCTGGGACATAGAGGGAAACAACCATAAGACGAAGGGCAGTGACAAGGGGACCTGTGACCCTCAATCACAGTATGCCTCCCATCATAACACACCCCAATTCCTGATATTCCCTTTACCCTAGAAGGAGGAAAATAGCCAGAAATGTGGCTGCAACTCTAGTCAGAACTTGAAATCCATTTTTTTTTTCATTCAACGAATATGTGTTGAGCACCTATATTATGCCGGGTACTATTTTAGATGGACAGAACATGATAGTAAACAAGACAGGCAAAACAAAGCAAAGAAAAAAAGCAAGAAATAAGTAGATGAAATAATTTCAAGTTTTAATAAGTGACATAAAGGAAACAAGCGAGAGCCTGAAATGCCTAGATAAGGTGGTCAAGAAAGGCTTCATTGAAAGGATAGCATTTAAGCAAGAATGAGTTGTAAATATTGTGAAACCCCAGTTACAGTTCTATTTATTCTGTGATGGGTAAATAAAGCACTTTTCCCTTAAGGTGGAAATGATGAAGAAAGACTAATTACTAGCAGTGCCCTCTGGAAGAGAGACACTGCTTCCTGCCCCAATACTGTCAGCCCTTCCCTCCCAGACTTTCGCAAAGCTCTTTGCCAGTGGGGGTGGGGCCAGGGGTGGGACTTGGACATTTGATAACCCATCAAGGGCAAAGCTGAAGAGACTTAGGAATGCGCCAGAAAGGCCCTTGATGGAGCATGGAAAAGGTCGTTATCTGAGTATTTCTAAGTATGTTTCCATGTGTGTGTGGTTACTAAGTATACATAAGTATCAGTGTCTTTAGCTGTTTTAGCAGGGTTTGTCTCCTAGTACACAAAAGTGTTAGTTTCCTCTTCTTCTCTCCTCCCCTCATTGTAGAGGTAAATCCAACCACAAAAAGGTGATCCTCAATCAATCTGCCCCCTTCCTTGACCTTATGGGCACCCAGACCCATCACCAAGGTGATAAGAGTCACAGCTCGGCATCAATGGCTTGATCTAGTCAGTGCTCCAGGAAAGTCATTGAAGGGGGATGGGACCTCCTACTGGGAAAAGTTAGTCTTGGACTCAGCTCTCTGTCCAGACCCTGACCTTATTTGCATTGATGTAATCAGCCAATATTGGCGAAGTCCTGAGAGGCAGCTCATTCCCAGTAGGCTTAGAGGTAGAGGGTGGTGCTGCCACCATCTCTATATAGACAGATCAGCCAGGTGCCCAGAGCTGTCCTGTGGCCTCTCCAGCTCAGCATGGCTCCAGTGCTGGGAGGACCAGTTGCGCTGGGGTTGTTGGGCCTGTGCTGGTCTCTGGCCATTGCCAACCCTCTTCCTCCGTGAGTAAAGCTGGAATGGGAGAAGGACTGGGGTCTGGGCTAGGGTGGGATAGGGCCAGATTATAGGTGTGGGATCAGCTAAGGGAGAGGGATTCGGCCCAGTGGACCCAGACAGCTGTGTGTCTTCTCTCTAGGGATAGTGCACCTGGGACCGGAGCTGAAGGTGGGAATGGGGTCAAGCAGGACCCAGACGTGATCGGTGAGGGCCTGACTCCCTGAGCCTGTCTATGTGTCTGGCTGTGTCTCTGCATTGTTCTATCTGACTGGTCTTTTATTTGCCATCTCCCCACCTCCACACCAGAACGCTGCTCAGATGGCTGGAGCTCTGATGCTACCACCCTGGATGAACATGGGGCCATGGTGTTTTTCAAAGGTAGGAGGGTCTGGGTTTGGGCACTGGGGACCTCAGACTTGGTCCCCTTCACTGAGGGGGTATCCATCTCTGGGAGATCTTAGGAAGTATCTAAGAGTATCACCCACAACTTCTCTGTAACTGTCTCAGTAGGACAGAGGTTATTCTGGGTCCCTCAGTGGGTGTGTATTTTTCAGGGGAGTTCATGTGGAAGAGTCCCAACTGGACCCGCGAATTAATCTCAGAGAGGTGGAAGAATTTCATTGGCCCTGCGGATGCTGCATTCCGCCGTAGTAATGACAGCGTCTTTCTGATCAAGGTACTGCTGGGCCAAGGTCAGGGCCTGGCCAGGAAGTGCTGGAATCAATACTAGAGACCCTCCCCCAAGTGGCCTTGGCATGGAGCCCTTACCAGTAGGTTCCAGGTTTCCTCCCACTGTGCCCTCCTTTCTGGGAAAAGCTCAGGTTAATGGAATGTGCTTGCATGTGGGCCTGGCAGGCACAGCATTCAGTGGCTATTCTTCGATCCTAATCTTCATCCAGAGCTCTCTGCTACGTCTCATGCTGTTGGCCAACCTTCCCTTCCTGGCAATTTCTTCCCTTACCTTCCATGACCCTGCATCAGGTTCTCTTCACATGGTGGCCAGGTTGTGCACAACACAATGGCACCTGGCCAAGGGGGAGAGTGGAGAATGAAACCCAGCCTATTGTGCTCACTGACGCCCATTTCCCTGGCTCAGTCTGGGTCTGCTCAGAGGAAGGGGTGCCTTCTAACTTGCACAAAAATGCTGTGTGGTTGGGTGGCCCTCAATGCCAGCCATGTTTTCCCTCCTGCCTCTTTTCCTGCTCTTCTCAGGCTTCTCCTCCTTGGCCGGTCCCTGAATGTTCCTGGGGGATCCATCCCAGCCCTTCTATCACCTCCTCGTGTGATCTCAACCACTGCCATGGCTCTGAGGACTTTATGTTGTGGGCGCCAGATCTGGATCTCTCACAGAGCTCCAGACATCTCTTTCCAATTTTGTAGCAGACATCTCTGACTTAAATGTTCCACAGGGACGTCAAATTCAGCATCCTCCAAACTGAACTTAGTATCTTCCTTACAAATCCACCCCTCCTCATGGGTTCCCTATCTCAGTAAGTGGCATCGCCACATGCTGGTTCCTGCAAGCTGGGTTCACATAGGTCTTGAGATCTGGCCTCTGGTTATCTTTTCACCTGCCCTGTGTGCCAGCCACACAAGACTACATATAGTTCTCTGAACACGCTCTGTACATGCTACTCCCTCTGGTAACACCCTGTCCACACTTGTCCACCTAGAAAATTCTGGCTCGGTTTTCAACTCTTGGCCCAGGTGCTTCCTCCTCTGTGAAGGCTTCGAGGGATTCTCTGGTAGACAGGCAGTCTCCCTACATCCCCAATGCACTTCACATGCTTCCACCTTGGTGGTTGCATGGCCAGGACTGTAGGAATCCTTTCTGCTTTTGTACAGTGAACTCCTTGAAGGAGGAGACAGAGTCTTGTCATCCTTTTATCCCGAGTGCCTCTCACAATACCTAGCACATAGCAGTCATTCAGCAACTTTCTTGAATGAATGAATAAATAGATAAATGAACAAATGAATGCATGAATGGATGGATGATTGTAGGATGACTATTTGTGGATGTTTGCCAAGACTGATGGTGTTGCTGATAAGTGTGCTATGGGAGTGTCTGGTTGTACACAGCCAGATGTGTGTGTGTTATAGTAATAGTGATGGGATTTGCACAATCTAACTGAAGGTATGTATTTGTGCAAGGGGACAGCACATTGTTGTCTACAGATGGATTGAGAGTGTATGGGGCTGCAGGAGAATATCATGTAAGTGCAATAGATCAAAGATGTTGTGGGTGAATGCAGAATGGCAGTATGAGAGGGGCAGTGCACAGTTAAAAACAAGGTGCTTTTCTATGCAGGGGGACAAAGTCTGGGTGTACCCTCCTGGGAAGAAGGAGAAAGGATATCCAAAGTTGCTCCAAGAGGAGTTTCCTGGAATCCCATCCCCACTGGATGCAGCTGTGGAATGTCACCGTGGAGAATGCCAAGATGAGGGCATCCTCTTCTTCAAAGGTCGGCCCAGACTGGAGTAATGGTGGGTTGGTGGTGATGGAGGTAGTGGTAGGGATGGTGGTGGTAGTGGAGTCACTCTATGGCTTCCCAAGGAAGGGAAGAAATAAAGAATCCAGTTATGTTCTAGAGGTCAAGTAGGGGAAGGAGAAGAAGTCATCCTGGGAGAGGTAATTGGGTATAACTCTGCTAAGAGTTCATTGTTCCTCATGACCCTTAGGACAAATCTATATTCTTTAGTCTGACATATAAGGTTCTCCATGACCAAGCCCCTATCGGCCCTCCAGTCTCACCTCTCAGCATACCCTTACATTGAATATGAAGCTCCAGAAATTCTGTGCTGTTCGGACACCCAATTTGCTTCATGCTTCAGACTTTCATCTCTCTGGAGTTCTATCTCCCTCTCTAGTCCACCTTATAACTCCTGCTTCAGATTTTAGTTTAAGTATCATCTTCTCCAGGAACTTTTCCATGACTCTCTCCACTGCCCTTGCTGAGCTGATCATCTGCAATTTGCTGCTGAATTTTATTGTATGATCACTCTCCTCAATTGTTTCCCTGCTGGGCTGTGAGCTCCATGTGGCCAGGACCATATCTGGCCCATCCTGGGGCCCAGTGCAAGCAAAAGGGAGAGTATAGCCTGGCTTCACTAAATGCTCATTGATTGATTGGACGAAGGTAACCGCACCTGGTTCTGGGACTTGGCTACGAGAACCACAAAGGAGCGTTTCTGGCTTGCTGTTCAGAATTGCTCCTCTGCCATGCGATGGCTCAACCGCTACTACTGCTTCTCGGGTAACAAGTTCCTGCGTTTCAACCCCGTCTCAGGAGAGGTACCTCCCAAGTACCCTCTGGATGTCCGAGACTACTTCATGCCCTGCCCTGGCAGAGGTAAGAAAGCTCCAGCCGCTGGGTCCTAGTGGAATTCGCCCACCTTCCCTGAGTTTGCAGACCTCATATGCCACAGCTCCCACCTTAACTGTGTGCTGCAACATCTTAGCCCTTGCCCTAGCCCCACTGCCATTCTGACTCTTCCCAGCTGTCCTTATATGGGGGAAGCCTACACCCCCACTAACCCAGCAGTCTCTTCCACCTCAGACCTCATTCTGACTTCTAGTCTCCTTCTGTGTTCCCCCTTGCCTATTTCTCCCCCCAGGCCACAGAAACAGGACTGGCCACGGGACTGGTACCCACCGTGGCTATGGGGCTTCGCGATGTAGCCCAGATCTAGCCTTGTCTGCATTGGTGTCTGACAACCATGGTGCCACCTACGCCTTCAGTGGTGAGAGATGCTCCTCCCCCCCCCCCGACTTCCCAATTTCTGCCCTCCATACCTCCCATCTCTTTCACATGTGTCTTCCATCTCTGATACATTTCCTCCATTTTCATCACTGCATCCCTTATTTTGTCCCCTCGGTCCCCATCCTTAGCATCATTAGCATGCCATTTTTCATCCCTCATCTCCTCTGATGCATACACTGTTCAACTTTGTCTCCCATTGCCCAGGTCTATAACTTCATCCACCTGTCTGCCTTCTACTACCATCTGCTCCGTGTTCTGTGCCCTCTCTGGACCTCTCTGGGTCTCTATGAGGAGTCATATTCCCTCTGTTCTTGCATGTCTTGCCAGTTCCTCTGGCTCCCCCTGAGCTTATCCTCAGGAGCTCCACGTTTTTCCAGGTGCCTTGTTCCTATATTCAGGTTGTCAGGCACAGCACTACCTGGGGATCAGATGTTCCCATTGCTGAGAGCCATCGAGAAGTGTTGGGTCTCTTAGACCTTTAGGAGACAGCTTCACTAGTCCGAGGAGTTTTCTCCTCTGAGTGACTAGCTTGAGGAGGTTTCTCCTCTCCCCAGACCTGTGGGATTAATTGGTAAAGCCATCTAATGACACCCAGGGATGTTCTGGGGTTAGTCAGGCAGATGGTGATGAGTCTTGATCCACACTTGAGAACAGCTCCAAGAGAAGGATGAACAGCAACATTGTACTCAGCCTAAGATATTTGTATGATCAGATACAAATGTAAAATAGTGGTAAGAACATAGAGTAGTGAAAATTCTTTTTTACTCTTAACTCTTGAACAGATCTGATCGATATGGCTACCAAGATATAATGAAAAATACAGAGTCACAAGGAGAGCATATCCCCACAACAGGAATGCATGCTCTAATGAGAACATACATCCATGATGAAACACACCTATAGTGAAAATATCATGTATACTGAGAATATATGCCATGGTAAGAACACATAAGTATCAGAAGAACATGCAGCTATGGTGAGAGCATAGGACCATTGGGAGGACACACAGACAAAGTGAGATAGAGGTTGAGATAGAGATAGAGATAGATGGATGGATAGATAGATAGGTAGATAGATAGATAGATAGATAGATAGATAGATAGATAAAACAGGGCCAGAGCAACCACACAGAAATGTCGAGAGAACACCCAGCCATGGAGAGACCACAGAACTTAAAGGCCATGTGACTATGACTAGAATGCAGCTGAACTCCTAAATTCAAAGCATTAGCTATGTTCCATAGCTGTTAAGAGAGTACCTAGACATAGAGAGAACACCATTACATTAAAAATATCCAGCTGAGGTGAGAACTCACTATCTTGGTGAAGACACCTGTGTGACCCAGCTACTCAGGGCTGGTCCTCCTCCTCTCATGAATTTTTCTCTTCCCTCTACCTCATAGCTTCTTATCCATTCTTTCTGCTTTTCCACAACTTTGATTTCACATGGACCAATGTGTCCTCTCCACCTTCTCTCTATTCATGATCTTTCAACCTCAGGTCCAACTGATAACTGCCTCAGTTGCTCTCTTTTTCCTAGTCGGATTTCCAGAGAGGGAATCTGACTGACTTAGTCCATATTTTTATTCCAGACCACATTAAAGAGCTTTCTGGTCAGCCTATGCATTGGCTGTTGATGAATTGGAGACTCATCACTTATTTCCCCTGCGCAAGGAACAGCATAGCTCTGATCCTCAAAATAGGGGCCATGAGCAGGGCAGTTTCAGCAAGATGGGAAGGTAAATATGCAGTCACCATGACATGCCCAGTAAACAGCTAAAAAGAGAACTTGTGGCTGCAGTGAGAATGCCAGCTACTTATTCAACAAATACTTACTGAGCACCTGATAGGCACTAGGCATTGTTCTACACACTGGGATTACAGTAGTCAAGATGGCAGACGAGACACCTGCCCTCACAAAGCCTGCTAGGGAGAGAGGACACTAAGAAAGAGAAAAAAAGGAAAGAGAATACTTTCAGGTAGTATTAATAGCTGTGAAGTGTTCTGGGAACATCAGAATGTTTCTTATGCTCAAATACCACTTGGAGCTAGTAGTACAAATGGATTTAAAAGTTGTTGTTTTTAAATACAAAATAAAAAATGTTAACTGTCAAAAAAAAACCTGTGAAGAAACTAAGACAAGATAATTGCATAGAAGTGAGGAGAATGAGGGGCCCTTTCTCTGAAGAGATTATTTTTGAGCTGAGGTTTCAGTGATAAAAAGGAACTAGCCACATAAAACACTGGAGGAAAAGCATTTTAGGGAGGATGGACAGCAAATACTTTGAGGAATCAGGAGAGGAGGCCAGTGTGGCTGAAGAATAGCAAAGGAGCAGGTGAGTGGCTTGAAAAGAGGGAGGCAGGGGCCAGATTGCATAGGCCTGGTATGGATTTTCAACTGTAAACGGAAGCCCAGAAGGGGTCTTGAGTAGGGCTGTGATATGTTCTGACTTATTTTTTTAAAGATCATTCTGGCTTCTGTGGAATGTAAGTCACAGAGATACAGCTGTGTCAGCACGATCCAGCTAGTAGTTTGGCAGTTTCTGGATTAGAGGTAGTGACACCTTGGACTAGGATAATAACAGAGGGGTGTTGAGAAGTCCTCATGATATCTTTTGGAGGTCAAGCCAATGGCAATCACCAATGGATTGGATATTGGGTAAAGGAATAGACGGATTTCAAGAATGCCTTAGCTTTTGGGGGCTGAGCACCCAGGTGACTGGTAGTTCTTTTCTCTAAAATTAGAAAAGACTAGGGAAGGAGAAGGGGTGTGTGTGTGTGTGTGTGTGTGTGTGTGTGTATTTGGTGGTGGCAGAAACCAGTTTGGACATGTTAGGTTTTTGGTGCTGAATGATCCCAACTGGACATGGTAGGCAGTTGAGTTTGAGCCTGATACTCAGAGGAGAGGAGAGGAGAGGTCCATCAGGGCTGAAGAGAACAGATTGAAAGTCATCAGCATGTATATGGAATTTAAAGCCCTGGACTAGGAGAAATCACCAAGAGAGTGAGTGTAGATAGAGAAGAGGCCCAAACTAGGGGATTCCAATACTAGATATCAGGCTGAAGAGAAGAGTAGACAAAAAGATAAGAAGAATGCTGGAAGAATCTGGTATCATGGGAGGAAAGATCCAAAAAGATATTTAAAGAAGGGAGTCATGAGAAGTCAAACACTGCTGAGAGGTAGACAAAGATGAAGACAGAGAATTGACCATTAGATTTGGCAAGTTGGAGGATACTGGTGACCTTGAAAGGAACACTTTCAATGGAGGAGGGAAACAGAAGCGTAAGTGAAGTAGGTTGAGGAAGAAAAGGTAAATGGGGGCTTAGATAATTCCTTTAATAAGTCGTTATGAAAAGAGAAGAGAATTAAGGGCACTGGTCTGGCTAGCCCTCCCCCCACCACCCCACTCTCCTGCCACCCCAAGGGATTAGCGAGCAGGCAGTGTGAGAACCTCAGTGGGAGCTCACTGGGGTGCTTGCCTTTGAGCTTATAGCCACTATATCTCATTATCTATAGCAACTCTGCACGTGGACATCTGAGACATATAGGGAGCCCCCACCAAACTCCATGACACTGACCTTACCTGGCAACTTGGCCACGGTTCTCCATGCTTTCCCTTCTGTCAGGCTCCTACTGACTCCGGTTCTAATCAGGTCACAATGCCCAACTTTGCCAAACATGTCCTGCTCTACTCCCTCTCACCTGGCCTCTTCCCTCTTGGTCTCTGGTTGCATTCTCTTCCTCTCAGGACCCATCCCTGAACCTGTCACTTGCCTTTTCACTGCCCTGCCTTTTACCACCAGCACTTGAGGTGCCTCTGATACTCCACAGAGTCTCACCACTGGCGCCTGGACACCAGCAAGGATGGGTGGCATAGCTGGCCCATTGACCATCAGTGGCCCAAGGGTCCTTCAACAGTGGATGCTGCCTTTTCCTGGGATGATAAACTCTATCTGATCCAGGTGTGTGTTGGGAGCGAGGCTTGAGATAGAGACTGAGGAGATATCCAACTCTGTGCTGATTCATGTTCTTTGTCCACCAGGGCACTCAGGTATATATCTTCCTGACGAAGGGAGGCCATACCCTAGTAGATGGTTATCCAAAGCGGCTGGAGAAGGAACTCGGGAGCCCTCATGGGATCAGCCTTGAGACTGTGGACGCAGCCTTTATGTGTCCTGGGTCTTCTCGGCTCCACGTTATGGCAGGTGAGGAGAGTCTGGGTGCTAAGGCTTGTTCTGATACTTCTCCATGGCATAGGTCCCCAAAGGGCATGAGAAGGGCTAGGTCAGGATGCCCATGTTATGTTTGGTGCCTTCTTCCCAGGACGGCGGCTGTGGTGGCTGGACCTGAAGTCAGGAGCTGCAGCCACGTGGACAGAGCTTCCTTGGCCCCACGAGAAGGTTGACGGGGCCCTGTGTGTGGAAAAGTCCCTCGGCCCTCACTCATGTTCTGCCAACGGTCTCGGCTTGTACCTCATCCAAGGCCCCAATTTGTACTGCTACAGTGATGTGGAGAAACTGAATGCAGCCAAAGCCCTTCCCAAGCCCCAGAGAATGAACAGCCTCCTGGGCTGCCATAATTGAGAGGGCCTGGCCCGGCCCTTTCTCCCCATTTTCCTTACAATAAAGCCAGAGTGCTTCTTTGCTTGAATCAAGGGGACTGGTTATGGAATAATCTCACTTCTTTCTTTGAATTTAGACGCTAATAACATCTCTTTTGAGGCTCTCAAGCTCAAATGAGGCTGCAGGAGGCAAGGGAGGGGAAGGCTGAGGGACAAACCTCATTTCTGCACAGATGATTCCAAAATCCAGATCATAAACTGGCTTCTTCTGGACTACGTACACATAAAGGGAAACGGAGGACTGAAGGAAGGGGAAGGAACTGCTGTGTTCACCCAGCAAGTAAGAGGCAGACCCAGCCTGCTAATAACTGACCACAGCTTGGCCCCAAGTCCTCAGGAAAATAGGGCTGGGGACAGCTGTGCGTGAGTAAAGTGGATTAGCTCAGAGTTGCCGTGGAGGGCCATGGGGGCCCTCAAATTGTGGTTCCAGGTGGTTCAGGCAGCACCACACCAGAAGACGAGGCTTCTGTTGCCATGAGTTAGGCATAACAAGTGGAGAGAAGTTGAGTTGGGGAAACGACACCCCTGTGTGTCGGAGGCAAGCTGGGGAAAGGGCAGAAGGAATGATTCAGGGGCCTGGCACCATGAAACACATTTGCAGAACACAGCTCCAGGGGAGTCCTGCTGGCTACCCTTCAGTCCCCTGGGTATCTGCGCCATCTAGACCAGTGAATGTTGTCTTGGTGGTGGTTGCAGCGGTTGGTTCTTTTCTGGTCATAAACTGACCAAATCTTTAGCTCCAAACTTACTGACAATCATTTGACTGGGGAATGGGCCTGGACTAATCTCTATGGGCAGCTGGGTCTCAGGTGAGACCCTTTTCCTCTTCTACCTTTCCAACCTAGCTGAAATTGAAGATTTGTTTGCTTGTTTATTTTAGGCTCAAAAAATAGCCTCAGACTCTAGCAGGGGGCTCTCACTCTGAGCTTCCATATCCTGGCCTCGATGACCTCTTCCATAAAATGGGTATAATACTACCCACTTCCCAATGGCAATGAATATGGACTCAAACCCATCCCTTGGATTCACTCAGGAAGGGGCCCTGGAAGTAGACCCAAACTTTCCCCTGTGGGCTTATCTGGTTTAGGGTCAGCCCCTCCTGACCTGGTGGCCCCTTGCTTTGTGTGGCTTTGGTGGGTAGAATAGTAGACTGACAAGCTCCACCTGCCATACGGGGTGTTGCACTGGGAGGCCAGTCCACAGAATGGCTCCTGAGAGGCACCTGGCCCCTCTGGTTCAGGAGAACTGCCTAAGGTTCCTTCACCAGCCTCAACAGCTAGGAGGGGAGGCAGGGGATGAATCTGGGCCTCTTAGATCAGGATCCACCCAGGACTTGAGGTTGGCTGGGCTAGGAACATAGGTTAGGGGCCAGGCACTATGGCTGTGGTGTCCACTCCTAAGAAGTATCTTGAGCTTTCCCTTTCATCCATGATGGTGTCTGGATGGTTCTTCTCACGGAGTTGGCTGCCCCTCCTTCAGTCTGAGTGGTGAGGACAAGGCCAAAATCTCAAATCCAGACCTTATTTGGTCCATGTACGACATCTGGGGCCATCACTGCATCATGCCAGGGAGACTAGAGATGTCTAAACAGTTATCCAGAAACTCTGGTACTCAAGGTTAACTCCCTCCTCTCTGTTGAAAGAGCAGTACTAACTCTCTGCTTTCTTCTCTTCTCCCATCTGCTCTGTTACAGGGAAGCCTCTAACTTGTCTCCAAGAAACTTCTAGAAAAGGTCCAACTGATGCTTCTTTCATCCTCACTTAGCACCTCCTATGTGCAGGGCAGTGTGTCAGGCAATGGAGTAACAAGATGAATCAGACAGGCCCTGCCCTCAACAATCTGCCACTCTATCACAGTTAGGAGGGGAACACAGACAAGGCATCACATAAATGCAATAAAGTGACATAGACATTAAGATGGAAGACCGTATGTACAAAGGAGAGTGGAGCCAGCAATATCTGGGATGGAGAGGGAGTTAGGAAAGGCTTCATACATGACATAACACTTGAGCTTAATTTTCAAAAGATGAGTGGAATGTATGCAATTCCTTTAGCAAATATATATTCACTGCCTACTATGCACTACCATGCCAGTGAGCAGGACAGGCAGAGGAGGCAACACGAGCAAAGAAAAGCCAGAGGAGAAGAGATAGGCAGGAGTGGGAGCTATAACTCCTCAGCAGGGCTGAGTACAGGGGACGAGTGAGGGGCTGGTGGGATGAGACTAGAGAAGGAGGCAGGGGCTTCTTGGCTCATGGTGGGCTTCCATATCAGGCTAGGAAGCATGGATTTTGTCTATCTTTGGGGGCAATGAAGATCTACTGAGGCATTTTAGACAAGGGAGTGAGGTGATAAGACTTACATTTTAGAAAGATTACTCTGATTGTTGCAGACTGGATACTGGGGGAAAAGAGACCACAGTGGATGTGAGGAGGTTAGTGCTGTGTTCCAGGTGGTAAATCATGGAGGTCTGGACACTAGGTGGCAATGGAGATGAAAAGCAGCAGGCAGATTAAAAAATATTTAGAAGACAGTCTATAGGACTTGCTAATAGATTGGATAGGGAGGGTGAGGGAGAGTGAGGAATCTTACCTCAAAACTGCTCCATGGTTCCTTTTTCCCACTCATCATTGTGCCTCTTCTTCCCAAACTTTCCATGATGCCCTCTTGAATTCACACTCCATGGTTAATAAGCTTCTCTACATTCTTTACACGCTCCATGGTAAATACATATCTCTATCTCTTTACCTCCAGTTTTAATTGAGACCAGCTCTACCCCAGGGCCCCTCTTCCTTTCCCTGTAGCTGTCCAAATGGATGGGAAGCAGTGTATCCACATTGGCATGGCTCTCACACATGTCTGTACCCTTTCCCTTCCTCTTTCTATGCAGGTTAAATTCCTCCTCCTTTGGCCTCATGCAAGTGAGCCATACCATTCTTATGGCCATCATCTATCAACCCATGTCCTCTCAGTTGCTGAAGTCCCTACTTCAGCTACCCAATTAGTATGGCCAAACTCTGACCCTAGTCATTATTCACAATTGCTCTACCTGTGAAGAAATTCCTCAAATTCCAACATCCCACTTGTGACCACAACCTCTTATCCTGGTCCTTCTGCCTCTCTCACAATTTCTTTCTCGTGCTTCTGCTGTTTTTTACAGAGATGTTTGGTCCCTTTATTATCTCCCAGTGCTCCATTCCCTAAAAGCCAGTCTTTTTCTATCCAAATTGAATATCAATGTTGATCATCTGAACAAAACTTTCTTAAAATTACTTTTATTTCTCTGTCCTCTTTAACTTCTATTTAATCTAGCCATAAAAAAGAAAAGAACAACAAAAAACAACTTTTTAGGTCAGAGAAAGAGTGAGAACTTTGGAGTCAGGCATGTCTGAATTCCAGGCCTAGCTAGGCCACTTAATAAGTCTGTACATTTGAGAAACAGCGTCTCTGAGCTTTGTGTGTGGTATTTGTGTGTACATGCACAGGTATATGCAAAAGAGGAATGTGTAACGTATCAATCACTGTTCAATAAGGATACAGAAATCACTCTAGATATTCCACATAGAGAAGGATTTAATGCAAATAATTTGTTACAAAGTGGTGGGAAAGGTCTGGAGAAGCATAAGAGGGAAAGCAGGGTTACCCAGAAATCAGGAAACCACCACTAATCTCCAGCTAGAGGAGCAAAAGGGAGAAAAGGTATTGCCCAAAGATCAGGGAGCTGGAACCTACAAATCTGCACTGGCTGCTGATGCGACTGGAGTTTGTACTGCTGACGCGACTGGAGCCGCCCCCACTTCTGCTAGGCAGGAACCACTGCTGCTGACGTTGCCAGAGGCACTGCCAAAGGCAGAAGGGCTTCTCCCTTCCTCCCACCTTTTCTGCCAGGGTTCCCACTGGCAGAAACTAACTGGAGTGAAGTGACAAAAGAATCTGAGAAACGTGGTTTTCAGCTTTCCATTCCCATTGGTGCAGGGGAGATTCCAGAAGAGTGGATGTGGGGATAAGTACCAACAGGCAACATCTGCCACATGTATTCATCATAACTCGTGGCTGCAAGTGATAAAACCCAACTCAAAGTGGTGTAAGAAGAAAGGGAACTTATTGACTCATGTGACTTCAGGCAGAAGTTAATATAGGTGTTAAATAGATCTTATCAGGCATCTGTCTCTCTCCATCCCTTAGTTCTGCTTTCCTTGACTTGACTTCATTCTCAGGTAGGCTCAACGTTCCTGGTGGCAAGATGTCCACCAGGCTTACATTCTACTAGCACCTCTTGCCCAATAGTTACAGGAAAATTCCTGGATCTGATTTTCACTGGTTCAGATTTAGTCGTGTGCCCATCTCTGAATTGATCACCTTGACCTGATCATGGGTTAGGAGCCCAACACTGAAGTGGGTTGTGGGACTGGAATGATTTGCATCTGAACCACACAGACTTAGAGTGGGGAGAGAATGGGTCTTCAAAGAAAACTGACGTGCTGTTACCAATAAAAGGGGGAATGGATTCTGTGCAGATAACAACAAAGGTGACAACAACATGCCCATGACAGGATAATACTTCTCTTGTAAAGTTTTTCTTGTTCTCCATCCAACCCTCCTCCCCTTCTTCAGCTAAAGACTTTGAAAATATTTATATCACTAGGCACAAAATACCTCAACCTCTTGTCTGCTCCTATCTTATTAATTACCCTACATACACCCTGCAGACTCTAAAATTAAGGCCTCCAATTCTTCCACATGAGCCCTTGATCCCACCTCCTCTCATCACCTCCAGGACCTCGCCACATCTCGCATCTTCTTTTTTCTTTACTTTCAAATTCATCTTCTCTACTGTATCTTTTTGTAGTTTATACTTACGTCCAAGTCTCCATAATCTCAAAAAAAATTTAAAAAACCCAGAATCTTTAACTTCATATCACTTTTCAGCTACTGTCCATTCTTTCTTCCAAATTTCCCAAAAGAAGGTTCTGCGCTCACTTATTCTCCTTCCTCATCTTCATTTGCTCAATTCATTGCATTGTGGCTTCTGCCTCCATTTTCTGCTGATATAGATTGTATCCTGGGGATCCATAACCTCTATGTTGCCAAATTCAAAGGATACTTTCTTGCCTTGACCTCATTAGAAATCTTTGCTGCATTTGATGCTGTGGACCGCTTCTTCCTCCTTGAAAGTCTTTCCTCCTTTGGATTTCTTCCATGACATTACTCTCTCCTGATTCTTCTCTTACTCTCTGTTTCTTCTCAGCTCTCTTCTTGACCTTATTCTCCTCTGTGGGCTCCCCAAATGCTGGCGTTCCCAGAGTTCAGTCCTTAGTCCTTTTCTCTTTTCACCCTATAACACTCTTCCTGGGAATGAACTACAATAGTCCTCTTGAAGAAGAGCATTGAGGAAGTCCTTGCCAGGGCTAGCATCTGACTTAATGAATTCCATTCTCTATATTATGTGGGAAGATTTTACTCCTTATAGATTTTCCAAACGATAACAACCACCCAGAAGAAAGAAAGTGTATTAGATCAAGAAAAATTACAATATCAAAGCAATACTTACATGTAGTGGTAGAAAAGGCTGCCTTTGCTCCATTAAGTGTCTTTGTTGCAAATAGAGACGAAAGCTCTATTCTTCTCAAGGCAACTGGGGTACCAACTGCCTGGTTATGCTGATTGGCTGGTCTATTAAACCAAATAGCATAAAGCCAGTACTCTTGGTAAGTGACTCTGGATTGATTTGTTTCTACTTCAAGTTTTTCCTGCTGGGTCCAAGGTAATAATTTTAAAAGTTTGCTGCCTCAGAGGGACCCACGTTGGTCAGAACCACACACAGTCCCTGAGGTGATTCATAGGCTATTGGTTGCTCCTAGACCATGGAGAGCACCAGAAGGGGGAAGAGATATAATAGAGGAAGGATGGATGGAGAGCACAGGTCGACTCCCCATTAATCAGGAGGCTCTGCAGACCTAGGAGGAGATTAGGGATTTGGGAAGACTGTGTTTGGGTCAAACTGCACTGTGTGTGAACTGTACATTTTCCTTTTTGCATTCTAGCTAATTAGACTCCTCTCCCCACCCTCATCATCCTATCTGTGTGCCTCTGGTTACCTGAAAATATGTCCCTGGATATTGCAGCCATCTTACTCAATGGGGTTGGGAAGACAAGTATTCTGGGGGCTGTTTGTAAATGGGTGATGTTTCTAGATTTTTTCGTTTACTTCAGCAGAATACTTGGAAGCCATCCTTTTCTTCATACTTCCATAGCCAATCGATCAATTGACCACTAATTTCTGTGAATTCTAACTCCTGAATATTTACTAAACCGGTGCAATTTTCTCCATCCCTACTCTCACCACTATAGTCATCTCCCACCTAGACTACATCAATTGCTTCCTAACTGGTCCCCACACTGCCAATTTTCCTCTCCTCCTGTCTATTCTCTACTAAGCAGCCAGAAGTGATTTTCTAAAATGCAAGGGTGAACATGCCATTGCCCTGCCTCAAACCCTTTGATAATTTTCCATTGTCCTTAAAATAAAGTCCAAAACCCTTAGCTTGACATACAAGGTCCTCCTTGATTTGGCACCTATCCACCTTTCCAGCTCTTCTTATGCCATTCTTCTCCATCCACATACCCATACTGGCCTTTTTTTGTGTTTCTCCTTTGACTTGGAATAATTTTTTCTTTTCTTGGCTGACCTCTGTCTCCTTCATCGCTTCCCTTCATGTATGTGCCACTTCCCTATGAAAGCCTTCCCAAACCTTCCCAGGCCAAATTTAGTCCACCCACACAGCACCCTGCACATCTCCTTCAAGATACTCATCACATTTCTAATTATACATTACATGTCTCCTTCCCCTGTTATTCAAGCTTCATGGAGGCAGGGACTGAATCTTGTTTATTTACATATTCCTAGCACCAAGGACAGTGCCTCACACCTAATAATTCTTTATTGAAAGAGAATGAATGAATGAGGACACCTTTCTTCTTCTGGCTAACACTTACTTATCTTTCAAGGACCAAGGTCAGTTGTTATTTCCTCCAGATTGGGTGACAGTCCAATCTGATACATCTTTGGATTTCTAGAGCTGAGCTTGGGACCTGGTACATGGGTCATGTATCACAGACGTTTGTCAAATCAGAATAAACTCTTGGCCAGGAGTTGCTAATTGTTGAAACTGAGTGATGGGTATATGAAGGTTCATTATACTGTTCTATCTCCTTTTGTATATATTTGAAATTTTCCATAATAAAAAGTTAAAACATTTATATTCATCTCTAGTTGAGTGAAAGTGTAGTCAAAGATGATCTTGAGGCCTATGGCTTGGGCAAGTGATGGTGGTACCATTCACTGGGATGGATGAAGTGGAGCTGCATTCAGTTGTGTGTGTGCCCCCACACACGCACATGTGCGAGTGTTAGGGAGGGTTCTTTTTCACCCCAGTGAAACTTCTTAGAAGGTCAATAAAGAGGATGAGATAATTTAAATTTGGACACCTTTAGTTCTAGGCACCTTAAGATATCTCCTGACAGTTGCTCAACAGTTAGCAGGTACACTAAATTAATTAAAACCTCTGCCTTAGAGGAATGAGCCATGAGAGGGTTTCTGGATGGTAACATTCCCTCTCATCTTCCTTGATGGTCTCTGAGCTCTGATCTGACTGACCAGTGGGAACTATCCCACTTTCCAGGGAGTCTGCAGTTAATATTGTGCCCCACCATACCTTCCTTAACACTTCATCCACCTTCTCTTCTTCCTTCCCTCTAGTGAATTTCTACTGAGAAGCGATTTATTCTCGACATCTCGGAGGCCTCCGTTTATGTTCAGCAGCAGGCGCTGGGTGTTAGAAAACATCTGGGTTCCAATCTGATTTCACTTACTGTGACCGCAGGCAAATCACTTCACCTCTGAATCTCAGCATCTGCCTCTGAAAAATGAGGATAATAATACGCAGCTTTCCAGGGCTGATATGATATGAGGATGAACGCATGTAAGGGGTTTAACACAGAGCTCGGCACAGTGTAAGCGGTCAATAAATACGAGCTATTATTATCACCAACGCTGTGTCCTCATTGCCTCTCCACCAGGACGTCAGGGAGGGTTGCCGCAAGAGCGGAGCCGGCGGCCTCCTCGGAGCCCCTCCCCACGCGGTCGCGGCCCCGGCACGGCCACCGCCGCTCCCGGTCCAACCTCGTCGGTGCTTCGCCCCGCAGGGGTGCAGGCCAAGGCCCTGCGGGGCGCGGGGTGAGTCCGTGGCCTAGTGGAGGAGGGCAGTGCCGAGCCGGGCAGGGGTCGCGGAGGCTGGGCAGCGCTCTGAGACTGGGGGAACCGGGCACAGGGATGGCGGCTGGCTGGGGGTGTTGGACCCTGGGGCTCACCGAGGGCGAGGGTCCTCTTGGGTGGGGTCCTCCGGGAAGCTGCGGCAACTGCCGCCCCCGAGGGGCTCCCACTCCGTGCCCGCGCCCGGCCCAAGATGGCGCCCCTCCCCCTCCCCCTCCCCCCGCCCCGCGCGCGCCCCCGCCGCTCCGGGCGCGGCCCCGCGGCCCGCGCGCTCCTGGGCGGGGGATGTTGTGATGGAGAAGCCGCCGCGGAGTCCAAGACCCGCAGCCTGAGCCACCTCCGCCACCTGGGCCTGGGGCCTCCCCGCGCAGGTAGGAGCCGCCGCAGCCTGGATCCAGCCACCGCGGCCAGATCCCGACCCCCAGCGGCCAGCGGACCCTGCAGCCCCTTCCCCGCGGCGGCCCAGGTCCCCCGGGCCAGGCCCGATCCCTGCGGGCGGCCCTCCCACCGCGCGGATTCCGACCGCCCTCCTGTCCCCCAGTGTAGGCTCCACCTCGGTCCTCACACCGCCTTCTCCTCGACCTTTACCTCCTGACCCTCCGGGATGAATAGGGGGAGAGTGTAGGGGACGGGAAGAGAGGGGCAGTGGAGGATGAGGGACGGGGGATGGGGGAGGGGAGGTCAAGGGCTGGCAAGGGGACGGGGCTGGGGGGGAGCAGAGGGTGAGGTAAGCAGAGGCCGCACGGATTCCTGCAGGGTCCCAGGCCTGGGATCTGTCAAGCTGCATTCTGTTGCTCTCAGCGACCGAGGGGTGTGCCCTGGGGCCAGCTATGTCCCCAGCTCAGCCAGGAGGCCTAGCGCTCGCAGGAGACTCTTTAGGAGCGGTTTTCCACCGCCAATTCAGAGGTTGTTCCGAACCTATTTTGAATCTGCCTGTGCATTTCTTGCATTCCCAGCCCCTCCAGCATAGTCCCAGCTCTCTTCACCCTTCAAAGCCAAAACCTTGTCTACGCTTGCTGTCTTCATTTCCTGACTTCCCATTCATTCTTAAAACCACTTCATTCGGTCTTCTGTCCCTGACACCCATGGAAACTGCTCAAGCCAAGGTCACCGGAGACCTCCATGTGGCCACCTCCAGTGGACACTTTCCTGGTATCGCCTATTACCGTTCTGCAGTATTCAGTGGTGGTGTCAACTCTCCTTGAAGCATTTTCCTGGCTTCTCTCCTATGGCGTTGTCCGCTCCTTCTCAGTCTCATTTGCTCCCTCCTTCCTCTCCCTTTAGATGTTGGTGAGGCTCTTGGTTTTGCCCTGAGCTATTTTCTCTCATTCTGCACTTTCTCCTCGGGTATTTTATTCATTCTCAAGGCTTCTAATTTTTTATATGTATGTGCCGATGAGTTCCATATTTGTATATTTGGTCCAAACCTCTTTCCTGAACTGTAGTCTCCATGTCCAACTGCCCTCATGACAGCCCCTTGGAAGTCCGACAGGAATTCCAAACCTACAGATCCCAAGCTGAATTGTCTTCCCTCTGTCCTCTCTCTACCCTTCTTCGAAATCCATTCTTCCCTTAACTGTCAGAAATGGCTACTTTCCAATCACTAACCCAAGCTGGAATTCTGGGCAATTTCTGTCCCTCACTCTCTACATCTGATGTCACCAAGTTCGGTCACATCCGCTCCCTGAATAGTTTTCAAATCCATTCATTTCATCCATCCCTACTGCTACCAGACTGAATCTGCCCCACAGCCCTTTTTGCGCTTGACTGCTCTAACAGTGGACCCTCTTGCCTACCTCCCGTTAACTACTCTCAACACAGCGTTATCCTTTAAAAAAATGCATCTATCTGATCATTTATTCATTCAACAAATATGCTCTGAACACCTGATATATACCAGGTACTGTGTTAGGCACTGAAGATATAATCAGGAGCAAAATAGACCAGATCTGTGTCCCCAGGGAGCTGACAATCTAAGGAGGAAATCAGATAAGAGTAAAATTACAAATGTAATAAATACCATGAAGGAAAGATGGTTGGTGCCTTGAGAACACACAGGAACACAAGGTGAACTAGTCTGGGGGACAAGGAGGGAGGGTCAAGGAAGGCTTCCCTGAGTACATGACATTTGAACTAAGATGTAAACGATGACTAGGGGGACTAGAGGTCAGTTAGGCTGAGAGGATAGAGGAAGGAAGTTCCAGGCAGAAGTCACATGCAAACGCTTTGTGGAAGGAGAGAGCATGATGTCTTCGAGGAATCAAAAGAAGGCCAGTGAGGCTGGAAAGCAGAGGGCCAAGCTGTAAAGGAAGGCAGGGGCCAGACTGAGTAGGACAGTTTTGGCATTGTTATGAATTTTGGTCTTAAGGTCTTTGTTGATGGTAGTGGGTGTGAAGAGTAGATCACGTCCAGAAACTTTTCTTGGAGAGAAAATTGTCAGTACCTGGGGCTGGATTGAATATGGGGAGTGAGAGAGAAGGTAGTGTCAAGGATGGTACCCCTACTTCTGTTTTGCACAATAGGATGGGTGGTCATAACATTCCACGAGCCAGGATCTTCAAAGAGGACCAGTTAGGGTGTGGGAGACAGAAACGTGAGTGGGTGTGTTAGTTTGAGAGGCCTTTGAGACACCCAAGTGGAGATGTTGAGGAGAAAGTTGAATGTGTATGCCTGGAGCTCAGATGAGGGGTTTGAAATGGAGATGTAAATTTGGAAATCATCAGTGTACAGGTGGTAACTGAAGCTATGGGCACGAATGAATATCTGTGTTGAATGTTGGATGAGAAACAGAAAGGAACATAAGAACAAGCCATGAGAAGCTCCAGTGTATAGCGGCTGGTAGAGGAAGATGAGCCAGCAAAGGAGTCTAAGAAGCCACCAGACAGTAACTAGAGTGTAGGAAGAAGACCTGGAGATGTAGCATGTGGAAGCCATGATGCAAGTTGAATGAGAGGCCCATGGTGTCAAAAGCTGCTGAGAAGACAACCTAGATGAGGACAGCAGTGTCTGTTGGATTAAATGATATAGGGGCCATGTTGACCTTGTTAGGAGCTGTTGCTGAGGTGTGTTGTGAGTGGAAGCAGGATCCGAAAGGGTTGAGGAGTGAGTGTGAGGTGAGGAAATGACAACAGTGAGTAGAGATGAGTCTTTCAAGAAGTTTGCCTGTGCAGGGGAGAAAGAGGGCAGCAAGTGGCACTGAAGGAGTGTTGAGTCAAGAAAGATTCTGTGTTTAAGTTGGGAGATAGTGGATCCCACTGAGGAGGATTGATTATATAGAAGAAAAAATGGATAAACAGTGGTACAAAATTTCTGGAAAGGCATGAAAGGAAGGATCCAAATGTTAGGTGAAGCAGTTGGTTTTAGGAAGAAAGAGAGAAAAGGATAGGTGCTGAAGTCAGTAAGTGTGTATGTTTGAGGACGTTCCCCAACTGATGGCTTCCATTTCCTCTATGAATTAGTGGGGGGTCATCCTCCGATGAGGGAGAGGTGGTGAAAGGGATGGTCCAAGGAGAGTTACATTCTTGTCTCAGCTTAAAAGTCACTTCCTCAGGCAGGTCATTGCTGATGCCTGGGCTACAGTAAGCCTCAGGTTCCTGTAGTGCCCTTTTCTTCCCCATCCTAACACTCAATCATTTATTCAATGAATAGGGAGTGCTTCTAGGTGCCAGGAACTGTTCTAGATACTGGCATTATACTGCATTGTAACGAGTTGTTCAGTGACTGTTTCCCCACTAGACTGTGAGCTCCATTGAGAGGAACCGTTTCCTTACTATTCGTCACTCTCCCCCTTACCTAGCACAGTGCCTGGAATCTAGTAAGCTGTCAGGTTAGAAGACCCTTGACCTTGAGCAGGACTTACTCCCCACCCGTGTGGTCTGATATCAACTCCAGGCTTAGTGGCCACTCTTTTATTTTCTTCCCTGAGGACCCCATCCAGCTCCCTGCCTTGAGCCAGAATCCATTTGGCTCTTTCTGTCCTTTGAGAGGCTCCTGGTGTGCGTAACCCCAATGAGAGAGGAGAGATTGGGTCGTGCCCCTTTTTGAAGATGTGGAGCAGCTGGTCATCCTTTGACTTCGAAAACTGAGGTGATGGTGACCATATTGCCTTGAGCTAGGTGCTCGGGCTTCAGCAGTCACTCCCAACAGAACTTTCCTCATTCTTCCCCAGCACTTTTTGCCCTGGTGATCAGATGGACAGGGCTGCCCTGAAGTTGACCTGACTCTTTGCTGTCCCAGACTCACTGTGCATGTGCCCTTCCCAGAACACAATTCCAAGTGCTAAGGAGGTTGGTCCCAGCCTGACCTGAGAAACCTGGCTCTCTACACCACTACTTCAGAGAAGAGCTTGTCTGATCCTCTGATCTTGGCAGAGTCATGGGGTCCTTCACCTTTTAAAACTTAGGAGATGCCACTGTTGAACAGCCTTCAACCCAAAGATGTTGGTTTAAGCTAACTCCTTCCCTCCATTTTTCCCTAGATCTCAGCCCTCACCTGTCTGAGACCCCTGTCCCATCTTACTTCTTTCTCAGGGAGCCTTCATCATTCTCCAGCACTCTCCCTAATGTTCCCATTGTCCATCCCCAGCCCATGGGGCCACATAATCCTTTCCTAGTGTCTATTCCAAACTAGTTCTGAGCTTCCTGGTTCCTAGTTCCTCTCACCCCTCCGTCCTTCCTTTCCTTCCACACCAAGGGTCCACTCAGTGGCAGATGCACAGCACCCTCTCCTCGGTAATAGGAATGTAAGGTTGAATAAGACATGGTCTGAGGTGTTCTGATAGAATGTGGTACTGGGTATCATGAGACATAAAGGAGGGAATGGTCACTTGAGAATAGGGAGAGAGGGCTGAATAGGAAAGACTTACTGTTTAGGAGCTGTGACTGCTGAGCCAAGTTTTGAAACGTGAGCAGAGGTTCTCACAAGAGGAGACAGGATTCCAAGTAGAGGGAGCAGGCAAACAAAGAGCTGGAGCTGTGAGTATGTGACATTTTTTAGACCCACCAAACTGCATGTGGCTAGAGTGTAAGGTATGAAGGAGGCAGGGAGTGGGAGGAGGTCCGGGAGGTCATGGGGATTGGCTCAGGAGGCTCTTGGGTGTTCTGCTAATGAGCTCAGATGTTATCCTAAAGGCAGCAGTGAGCCATGTAATTTTTTGAACTGGGGAGTGACACAATCCGGTTTCCATTTTTGGAAGATTACTGTGGTTCTGGGTAGAGGCAAAGCTGTCTATTTTTTCTCATTTATTCAAGTGACCATGAGTTTTCTCATTGCCCAGTGGAGCCACATCGAGCAGGCCAACAGTTACATGTGAGGCAGACACACAGACGGGAGCCTGTTTTCATTTATTTCATAGATGTATGCATAGCTTTGTGCTAAGGTCTGAGAAGCTAGAAATGACAGAAAGGTGAGCTATGGCTTCTGCCTCAGGACCATGCACTGCGCCTGAGAGATGGCAACACACCTTGCTCAGCAGCCTAAAACACCTCACTGCACCCTGTGCTTGGTGCTGAGAGCTACACTGAAGCGGCAGAGAGAACTGGGGCGGAGGGCAGGGAGAGAATGAACTTCCTAGTGGGGAACTGGGAGGTAGAGAACTCTCAGATGAGAAGTTGAGTCAGAGAGAAAAGTGTGTGTCGCAGGGGGCAGTCAATGGGGGAGAGTTTTGTGTTGGGGGGGAGGTCAATAGGAAAAGAGAACTTCGGGAGTGCGTATCAGGGAAGGGGAGAGTACTGTGGGATGGGCTGTCTAAGAGGGTCAGGATGAGAGAGAATAGGGTAGTGGTTGGTTAGGAAGAACGAACCGTGAGATGGGTGGCCAGTGAGGGTCCAGGGAGGGAGTTCTTCATAGTGGGGGTCAGGGAAAGAGAGTAGCCAAGCAGTGGGAGGTCAGGGAGATGGGGAGGATAGAATGGGGCCTTGAGGGTGGGATCACTGGGCTGATGGGACTGGAAAGACAGGTAGATGGAGAAGGTGATCCACAGAGGGCTTGTGAGGAGGAAGGAGGGGGTCTGAGGGAGTGGGGGGGGGCTATCACTGTGGAAAAGGAGGTCCCCTCACCTGAAGGGCAGTTGGAGTTTGGTTGGGGCATCATGAGCGGTGGTTGAGACACAGTAACATGACCAAAGTATGTTTTCTGAAAACAGTAGAGGAGATGCTAAAATGGGGCCTGGAGGAGACGGGAGGGCAGATTTGTACATTAATTCAACAAATATTTATTGAGTTCCTGTTCTGTGCCAGGACTGTGTTAAGTTCTAGGCATTCTGCATTGAAGAAAAGACAAAATCCCCACCACCATGGAACTAAAATGATAGTCATGAGGAGACAATTATTAAACAAAGCAGTAATAGTAATAATAATGATAAATAGCTTGTCAGATGGTGCTGGGTGCTAGCGAAGGTTTGGGGATTGCTGAGAGGAGGCGTGGTAGCCTGCAGTTTTGAAAAGGGTATTCAGGGAAGGCCTCAGTGAGAAGGTGACATTTGGGCAAAGACTTGAAGAGCTGGAGGGTCCAGGTCAGAGGCTCCTGCAGTGACCCAGCTATGGAGCATTATAGGGGCTGGCAGAGGGACTGGTGCCCGAGGTGAGATACTTTATAGAGACAGTCACCAACATGTTTCTTCAACTGGCCAGAGGAGCTGTGGATTGGAGCTGAAGGCCCTTCCTTTGTGACCTGCCTTTCTAGGGCCATGCCCTTGAGGCCTGAGTCTGCAGCTCATTCTTTCCTGTCCTACTCTCTAGTCGGTGGTGGGCTTGGGGTCTGGTTGGACCCAGTGATTTATGAAGAGAGAAACACAACCTGGGGAGCTCACAGTGGTGGGGCTATGGCTAGCACTGTGGCAGGAGGAAGGGGGCAGTCAGTGTCCAGCATTCAGAACACATGAGCTAGTCCCACACCAGCTGTGTCCCTGGCACAGTAAGCCCCAGTCGGATGCGCTGGGGGTGGGGATGCACAGAGAGCCATTGTGTGGAGGCTCTGCTGTTGGGAGTGAGGGCAAAGCGGGGGCCAGCTGTGCTATCCCAGGAAGCCCAGGGCTGGGCATTTGGGGATGGGGTAGACTGTCGGCCTGGGCCTGGCCTGGGATGGGCATGGTGGTTGAGGGGATGGTGGTGATGGAGGACAGAAATTGAGCCCAGTTATTCTCATGGGAAAATAACTCATAGGACGTGGAGCAGTGTGTGCTGGCCTGCTGAGTGTAGAGAGATGAGGAGGTATAGGGCACAGCCCTAGGGCAGAAGCAGGCTTGCTGTTATCCTGACCTGGAGGCTCAACATGGTCTCTTCTCCCCACCTGCAGGATTTGCCAAGGCCATGTCTGTTCCATCATCACTGAGCCAGTCGGCCATTAATGCCAACAGCCACGGAGGCCCTGCGCTGAGCCTACCCCTGCCCCTGCACGCTGCCCACAACCAGCTGCTCAACGCCAAGCTGCAGGCCACGGCTGTGGGACCCAAGGACCTGCGCAGTGCCATGGGGGAGGGTGGTGGGCCTGAGCCAGGCCCTGCCAATGCCAAGTGGCTAAAAGAGGGCCAGAACCAGCTCCGGCGGGCTGCCACGGCCCATCGTGATCAGAATCGCAATGTGACCTTGACCCTGGCGGAGGAGGCCAGCCAGGAGCCTGAGATGGCACCCTTGGGCCCCAAAGGCCTGATGCACCTATACTCTGAGCTGGAGCTCTCCACCCACAATGCGGCTAACCGAGGGCTCCGAGGACCCGGCTTGATCATCAGCACCCAAGAACAGGGGCCAGATGAGGGAGAGGAGAAGGCAGCAGGGGAGGCCGAGGAGGATGATGAGGAAGAGGATGAGGAGGAGGAAGAGGAGGACTTGTCTTCTCCTCCAGGGCTGCCCGAGCCCCTGGAGAGTGCAGAAGTCCCTCCTGGGCCCCAGGCCCTCACGGATGGCCCCCGAGAGCACAGCAAGAGTGCCAGCCTCCTGTTTGGCATGCGGAACAGTGCAGCCAGTGATGAGGACTCAAGCTGGGCTACCTTATCCCAGGGCAGCCCCTCCTATGGCTCCCCGGAGGACGCAGGTACCTTACGGAGCTTGACATGGGGCATGAGGGAGGGCAGGTGGGCAGAGGGCAGACCCCTCTGTATAGAGGCCAGGGCCAGCCTGAGCATGAGTCACCGCACCACAGGACTGAGGACTGACCAGGTTTTCCTGAAGGAAACCATTCCTGCATTCAGAGAGTGCTTGAACAAGTTGATAGACCCATCCGTCATGTACACCCTGATGTGTGTGCGGACTAGAATCTGCTTATGGGGGACTTACCAGGTACTGGCCCTGTGCTCAGCATTATGGTATTTAATCCTCACAAAAATATTGTGAGGTAGATACCATTATTATGCCCATGTTACAGATGACAAAAAGGAGTCCTGGAGAGGTTTAGTACTTTCCAAGGTCACAGACAGTGTGAGCTCACATTACAACTGAGATCTATACCAGGTCTGAGTCCAGACCCAAGATCTTGGCCCCGTGTAACCCTGCTACCGATGGGCACAGCGTGAGGAACCGAGGTGTACTTGGGCCAGGTTTTAACAGGCCAGGCATGGAGTGGGCAGCAGCACCTCCCCACAGAGGTCCATGTGGAAAGACTGGGGGATGTCATGTGCAGAGCACCATGCTGGGCATTGCAAGGATACTGTTTTGTATCCTTTGTATCAGGAATAGAATATTGACTAAAAGTTGGGAAACAAAGGAAGAATAAACACGTACTTCTTTGTGGGGAGAAGAATAGGTATTAGGATTCCAAGGATTGATCATTAAATGTGTCCCATTTAAATAAGTTGAGTCTCTACATTTGCTCATGTCACATAGAGATGCAGACAGAGCTGAGGATCAAAGAGCAGAGATAATGGGCTGTAGCCACAAGCCGGGGAGTTCTGTGGATGAGAGTGTAAATAGAGATTAGGAAAGATTCCTCCCTCACCAGGCAGCAGGCACCGTACCCAGACCCCAAGCTGTGAAGCCTTTGCAAGGAGCAGGCAGTTCAGATGAGCCAAGGCCATCTCTCTACCCTCTCTCAAAAAATTTATGATGGACGTTTTCAAACATACACAAAAGTAGCAAGAATGGAATACAGGTATTTACCAACTACCCAGTATTAACAATTAGCAACCCATGGCTAATCTTGCTGCATCTGTTCCCCCACCTACTCCTGGGCCCCAGCCTAGGTTATTTTGAAGCAAATACTTTCATCCGTAAATGTCTACCCATTCATTTCTAAAAGATAAAATTATTTTAAAAAATTCACAATACCATTATCATGCTTACAGAAATTCAAGAATAATTCCTTAATATCATGAAATATCCAGCCAATGTTTACATGTCCCCAGTTGTCTAATGAATGTCCTCTCCCCCTTTTAAAAAGTTTTGATTATTTAAATCAGTATCCAAATGAGTCCAGACCTTTTGATGGTTGATGTCTCTTAAAGTTTCTTTTAATCTCCACATTATCCTTCCATCTCTCTTTATTTTTGCTTGTAGTTTTTTTTGTTTTGTTTTTTAAGTGAAGACACTGTATTGTTTGTCCTGGGTTTTCCATGGTCTGGATTTTCAGCCTCTCTTCTTGTGTGCGTGTTGAACTTAGTCCTCTTCCCCTGGATTTCCCGTAAATTAGTAGTGAGTTCCAGAGTCTGATCAGATTCAGACTTGAGAGTTTTCTGTATTTGTTTTCACAAGAACACTTCTGACGTGGTGTTGAGTACTAGCAAAGGCAGTGTCTGATTGTCTCTCTTTTTTGTGATGTTAGTGGCCTTCGATGGTCATTGCCTGGACCCCCTTTAGAGGGAACAGCTGCTACTCCACTCCAGCTGGTTATTTATAGGATTGGGTGGGGGAAAATGTAGTTTCAGTGGAGCCAGTTCATGTAACTTTTTAAGAGAAACTGAAAACTAGATATTGATGTGAAATATCGCAATTTCTTAATGTTAGCAACCAATTCTATTTTTTAAAAAGCACTGTGCAGGCCACACAAAATCTATCTGAGGCTTGCACCAGTTTGCAGATTGCTAGTTTGCAATCTCTGCCTTAGGGAGTGTGAGTCAGAAGCCCAGTAAATGGAGGGCCTGGTTGCTCAGAGGCTCCTGGGGTGGTGTGGTGGCCGCACCTCTGAACCTTCTGGGAGTAGGAGGGTAGAACTGCTGGAGAACTGGGAAGGGTATGCTGGGCATGGGCAGTGACCTCAGCAAGGGCATTGGCATGGCAAGAGGATGGTCAAGGATCACTCTCTGCTGGAGGCTATGGAAAGTGAGGCTACCCCAGGGAAGGGCTGAGTCACTGCTTACTCTTTTGTGATTGTGTTGTTATGACCATGAAGGCCACAGAGGAGATCTGGGCTCCTGAAGGAATGGGGTCGAATTGGGCACAAATTATTTTCTCCTCCCCACCCCAGGGTCTCCACAAAGTTGTTGGTTGAATGAATAAAAGTGCGTGAGTGAATGAATGAACGGATGAGTGAGTGAGTGATGAATGAATGAATTTTACTACTTGTGTTGGGTTCATACTCAGTGCCAGGCCTTGTCCTAAATGCTGGGAATGCACACTACAGGGGACAGATGTTCCTGCCCTCATGGCACTCACAGTCTAGTGGGGAGACAGAGAAATAGGCAGTTATAATCAGCATGGTGAGCACTGGGATGGCACCAAACCCTACCTGTGTGCTTGCTAAGGGACAGGGAGTGGGTCAGTTTGGAGAAGTGACCTTTACGCTGATGCCTGAAGGAGGAATGGGTGACAGTGAGGTGACAATCAAGGGGAGGAAGGCTGGGCTCAGAGAGGAGGGGCAAGTCGCAGGCAGAGAGAGAGAGAAGGGGGTGAGGGTCGTCAGAGATAAGGCTGACAGGCTGAGGGTTAGGGCCTCCAAACAGCACTCAAACCTTGTGGGGGAATTGGGATTCTATCCTGAAGGCAAGGAGAAAACAATTAGGAGTATTAAACTGGAGAGTAACTTCTTTAGTTTAGCATTTCAGAACAATTGTCTGGGCTGTAGTGTGCAGCCCAGATTGGAGGAGATTAGACTGGAACAGGGAGACCATTTGTGAGGCTGTTGCAAAGATCCAGGTAAAAAATACCAGTAGTCTAGACTGCAGTAGTGATGTGGGGGTGTAAAAGAGGGGAGAGCGTTATGTGATTCACTGATTCCTGAGCAAATCACTGTATCTGGCTCAGCCACAAAGGCATGCATGGACGAATCAATGAATGAATGATACCTGAACCTTTGAATTCATGTGTGAGTGCCTGCATGAATCGATGCAAGAGGGAAGGTGTACATTCCTGAATAAGTGCATGCGTGTAGAACCCAAGGCCCAGGTAGGATTGTGCTTGGAGGAGATGTGCCAAGCTCCAGAAGGGCCTCCCAGATGGTCACGGGAGGAGAGCGGTCCCTCCAGGACAGATCAGAAGGACGAAACTCTTTGAGGCAGGAAGGTACAGGCTGACAGGGAAGGCAGATGGATTAATGTGTGTGACTCAGTCAGAAGACGGTAAATTGGTCCCCAGATTCAAAAGGTGTATGACTTTCATGGAGAAAGGTGTGGCTGTGGAGGGCATGGCTGCCCTGGGCACTGATGTTCCTGGAAGGTTTGGTGGGAGAGCCCTGAAGGCGATGGAGAGTCTCTGGGGAAGAGCAGGCATTCACATTCCCTAGGGCCTGAGGTGAGGGAAGGATGGAGGGAGAAGAGGTGGTATTGGCTATCTCAAAGACTGGATCAGCGAGAAGACCCCCCTCTGTGGGCCCGCCTCATTTGAAAGCTGAGGGTGCTGGGGCACCTTGTACAGATAACTCTCACATCAGGTGTGCAGCCACCTTTGTGTAACCACGCCCACTCCCAGCCCTTGTGTGTTTGGTTGCCCAGCAGCCTGGGTCTGGGGACTGCCTGTCCCTCTGCTGCCTCTTGGACCAGTCAGGATTCCTGGTTTCCTTGGTAACGGGAAGCACGTCAGCAGTCTGGGCGCTCCCAGCCGGTCCTGGTGCTGCGGTTGCCGAGGAGACGCTGCAGCCTAGCTGGGCCCTGGCAGGTGAGGGGGGTTGGTGCTGGGAAGCCCCAAGCCCAGCCTCAAGCTTGCTGGGGCCCATGCCCTCAAGGCCCACTTTCAAGCTCAAACTGTTGGGCAGGTTCTGGGCAGGAGAGGGATCCCTGGGAGCCTTGAAGCCACACCCTGTTTGTACTGAGAGCTCTAGGCTTTGCAGGGCCCCAGGTGGCTAGAGTATTCCCAAGGGGCTGAGCCTTCTGGTGTCCCCAAGACCGGGCTTCACTGTGGTGGTGAGGTGACCGCTTCGGGGTGGAATGGAAATTCAGGATTGGGGGAGGGGAGTCAGGATTAGAAAGAAGAGATGTGAGCAAGAAGGGCTGGGGTCTCATGAACCCCTACCGGCTCCCCACCCCAAGGAGGTGCCCACCTGTGGTGGTCCTGGCCCCTCCCTAGTGAGCTCCAGGCGGAGGAGGATCTTGCCTGGCAGACGCTCTGCCCTGGTGAGAAGGGGGCGGGATGAGCTTTTCTCTGCAGCCCAGCACCAGGCTGTGAGCCCAGCTGGCTGGGCTGGAGGGGCTGTGAGGAGGGAGGGCGGAGGCAGGAGGGGCTAGGAACGAGCGCCATGTTCTCCCAGGACTTTTTCCTGGCCATCATCCTGCAGGACAGCAGTCCAGGTGAGGGGCAGCACAGGGCTGGGCATGATGTGGGGCGGGGCTGGCAGGGTGTGCAGAGGCAGGGAAGGCGTGAGCTGAGCTACAGGGCTGGAGTGGTGTGGCTCTGTCGGAGGGAGGAGGGATGTCTGTCACAGGAACACCACACGTATGCATGTGCATGAAATGTTTGCCTGCATCTGTATGCACCTGTCGGGGTGTGAGTGTCTGGTGCCTGCACACATGTGGCAGAGGCTGATGTATGTTGTGTGTCTGAGTGTGCATTCACTATATGTGGTACCCACACATGTGTTGGGGGTCATTGTGGCTGTGGTCTCTGCACACATGTGTGGTGGGGGCTGGTCTATATAGTGGTGTGTGTACACTTCTATGTATGGTGTCTGCATTAGTGTATGGCTGGGGTTGGTGTATGGGTCTTTGCCCCTGCACATGTGTGTGCACCTGTATGTGACACCTGCCGTCTGTGCTGGTATTTTCTGTGTGTGCACACCCTTGTGTTTGTGGTGTCTGCACAGGTGTGTAGTAGGGCTTGTATATGTTGTGTGGGCTGTGTGCACATGTGTGTGTGCAGGAGCTGGTAAGTGTGTGCACCTGAGATATGGATATGTATGACAGGAGGTCAACTGGGGTCACCCAACCTCCCTCCCTTCTTTCCTTCCTCTCTGCCTTCCTCCTTTGCTCTGTGTAACCACATTAGCCAGGAGCAGGGCCCAGGAGGAGACCTGAGCCATGTCCCCTGCTGATGGGCCCCATGTTGTGACTCCAGGCTGCAGGCTCTGGGAGGAAGCAGGAGCTTTGTTGTGCTGGGGCCCTTCCCCCACTCCTTCCTCTCCACCGTGGGGTCTTGGGAGAGGGCTAGGCGTAAGTACCCACTGTCTGCTTGTTGAGTGGGCAGACCCTCACCAAGCCCCCAACCTGGCAGATTCCTTCTGGAACCCCAACGCCTTCGAGACGGATTCCGACCTGCCGGCTGGATGGATGAGGGTCCAGGACACCTCAGGGACCTACTACTGGCATATCCCAACGGGGACCACCCAGTGGGAGCCCCCGGGCCGGGCGTCCCCCTCACAGGAGAGCAGCCCCCGAGAGGAGTCCCAGGTGAGGCTCACGGGCCTGTTGTTTTTTGGCTGGGGGCGGAGGGGTATTTGCTGCTGGAGCAAGATGAGCCACCACTCCTTATTCAATCCCTCCTCCTAGATAACCTGGACAGGCTTTGCTCACAGAGAAGGCTTTGAGGATGGAGAATTTTGGAAGGTGAGTGAGGGGACCTGCTTCACAATGGGGACGCTGGGGAAGGGACCTCATATTGATCCTGATTCCTCTCTCCCCTTCTCAAGGATGAACCCAGTGAAGAGGCCCCAATGGATTTGGGACTGAAAGACCCTGAGGAGGGACCCTTACCTTTCCCGGCTCAGAGCCTCAGGTAAGTGGGAAGGCACAACACAGTGGGTTGGCAGTGGGGTGGATCTATCCGGAAGGGGCCTTGGGACAGCTCCATGTATGGGGGCCCTGTTCCAAGTGTTATCATCTGTCTCCAGCCCAGAGCCATTGCCCCAAGAGGAGGAGAAGTTGCCTCTGAGGAATACCAACCCAGGGACCAAGGTTTGTTCAAGAGCAACACCCAGTCCCCAGACTAGGGCCCCTCTGTGTGCAGGAGAGCCCCTTATGTTATGTTCTGGGAGGCACCTCTGGTCTCAGTACAGCTCCCTGGGTCCTGATTTGGGAGTTCTTTCTGTCTCAGCAAATCCCCTGTGTCCTGTGCTGGAGGCTCCTCCAGTTTTAGCTCAGACCCTCTACCTCCCACCCCTCTTCTGTGTCTGGCAGTGTTTCGCCGTGCGCTCTTTAGGCTGGGTGGAGATGACCGAGGAGGAGCTGGCCCCTGGACGCAGCAGCGTGGCAGTCAACAATTGCATCCGTCAGCTCTCCTACCACAAAAACAATCTGCACGACCCCATGTCTGGGGGTTGGGGGGAGGTGAGGGCCCAAGCCAGCAGGGTGGGCAGGGTGGTGCAGTGGAAAAGGGAACTGTGACAGATGGGAGAACTGAGCTGCCCAAGCGAGAGCTGGTGAAGGAGGGTGTAGACCCATCCCAAGTGACAGGCCTATTGAGATGGATGTATGACCCCAGGTTGGACCCTTGGGAGAGCTTACCTCTGCTGAGCTGGAGGTGGTGGAGATCAGCCACCTTCCCTGCTGGGGCCCCACTGAGTGCCTGCTTCCTGGGCCTGCAGGGAAAAGATCTGCTGCTACAGCTCGAGGACGAGACACTAAAGCTGGTGGAACCGCAGAGTCAGGCCCTGCTGCACGCCCAGCCCATCGTCAGCATTCGTGTGTGGGGCGTCGGGCGGGACAGTGGAAGGTGGGAGCAGGGCCTGGGATCCCAGGGTGGGGGCTCATCCAGCAGTCAGAGTGGGCCCTCCTCCCTAACTCTGTTCTTTGCCTCTCTTGTGCTGCCGGACCCAGAGAGAGGTACTTTGCCTATTTACCTTGACTGTTCCTCCTCCCACTCCTGGACCGGATGCCTTGAAGCCCCCAAGTTGCCCTATTCTGCCCTGCCCCTTCCTGCCCGCTCTGCTCATCCACTCTCCCCAACCTCGGCACGCTTGCCTGCCTACCCTCCAGCCAGAAGGCAGTCCCCACAGGACACCATCCTGAGGACAGAAACCCTGGAGGAGCTGTGATGGACAGGGAGGGCATGGGTGGGGTGGGGATGAGGCTCAGCACTGGATGGCACTGAGAGACACTGAGGTGCCCCTCCCCCAACAGGGACTTTGCCTACGTAGCTCGCGATAAGCTGACCCAGATGCTCAAGTGCCACGTGTTTCGCTGTGAGGCACCCGCCAAGAACATCGCCACCAGCCTGCATGAGATCTGCTCTAAGGCACGGCCCCCTCCACTCCTTGGACTAGCTGCCACCTTTGCTCTACAAGGATGTGGGTGGGGTCACTGAGTGGGAGTAGGGGGCCCCAGGGCAAGGAAGCCCCTAACAGACTCTCCCTCGCTCCTTTCCTCTGCTCTTTCCTTCCTCAGATCATGGCTGAACGGCGCAGTGCCCGCTGCTTGGTAAATGGACTCTCCCTGGACCACTCTAAACTTGTGGATGTCCCTTTCCAAGGTCAGTGTCATACCCCGCCAGGTCCAGCTCAGCTTTGTTGGCAAAGGCGGGGTGACCCAAGAAGAGATGTGAGCCACTGGACAGACATGATAGAAAAATGGACACATGGAGACTAAATTCTTTGGATCAAATAAGTGGATGGACTTCGGTTAAAGGGAGGCAGGGGGAGGGGTGGAAGTAGGGCTTAGCTGGGTGTATGTCCAGCTTATGTCCTGGTGGTGGGGACCGGGAGTAAGCAAGATCTGCCACCACGATTGATCCTCCTCTTCTTTCCTACAGTCGAATTCCCAGCGCCTAAGAATGAGTTGGCACAAAAGTTCCAAGTCTATTACCTGGGGAATGTGCCTGTTGCTAAACCTGTTGGTATGTGTGTCCTTCTTCACCCAGGGACCACCACCTTGATCCCAAAGCTCCGCCCGCACCCTCTGTTTCCCACTGCCTCTTCTACCAGACCTTCCTCATGCTTGGTGTCACCTGCCTTCAAAATGCATCCCACCCCCTGTACCTCTGTCCCAGCTGCACTCCGTGTTCCGCCTGTAGCAGCAGTCGGCATGCCTTCACTGAGCATCAGCCACATGACTGGTGCTGAACCAGGCACAGAGAGAGACCCCACTCTTGCATCTCATGGAAGAGCTTTAGTTGGGTTAGGAGGCAGGTCTTAGATGACTGGAGACACCAGGCAGCAGCCTAGAGCTGGGTTTGGCATTACAGCACCAGCTATGGGCTGTGAGTGTCTAAAGAGGAAGTGATAAGCATTATCGTCACATACTTTAGTGTCTGTAAAGTACTTGCTTATGTATTATGTCATTTAATCTTTGATGATCCTCTGAGGTTGGGATTATGATAATACCCATTTTATAGATAAGGAAGCTGAGGTTAGAGACTATCTGGTTCACTCATATTTTCAATGCTTTCACAGCACCTGTTATTTATTTGTTCATTCACTTAACAAATACCTTTGAAGCCTACCATGTGTCAGGTCCTGGGAGAATAATGACCATAGTCATGCTTTCATGGAGGTTATAGTAGAAAAAATAGGAATTAATCAAATAATCGCACAAGTAAATGTGTAATTACAAATTGAGTCATTCATTGACAGAAAGTAGCAAGGTGCTATGAAACTACGTAACAGAGGAATTTCTTTTAGTCTAGGGAGTCAGAAAAGGCTTCCTTGAGAAAGTGACATTTGAATTGAGATCAAAAAACGAATAGGAGCTAATATGGTAAAGTGGGATGAAGATAGGAGTAAGGCAGAGAAAGATCATTCCAGGCAGAGTGAACAGTGTGTGCGAGGACCTGTAGTGGAAGGCACTTTGATACTTCAAAGGCATTGAGAGAAGGCCAGTGGTGCCAGATGAGGCTGGGAGCTGGGCAGTGGTCAGACCCTGTGGGACCTCGCAGGCCGCATTAACGATTTGGTCTTCATCCTAGAAGCAGCAAGGAACTATTGAGGAGTTTTTGGGAGAGCACTTGGCCTAATCAGATTTGAGTTTTGAAAAGCTCCCTTTGGTGATACCATGGAGAAAGATGTTCAGTGGGTGGAGGTGGGCATAAGGAACTCAACTAGGAGAATCTTGCAGTAGTTGTGGCCAGTAATGAGAGTATCTTGGACTATGGTAGAGCTGAAGAGGAGTCTGTAGATTCAAGACATTTAGACAATTAGAATCAACAAGGCTTGGTGGACTGAGTGAATGTGAGGGGCAGAGGCATTAAGGCTGACTCCTGGCCCCTGGCTTTTGGAACTAACAGGATAGTGGTGCTGTTCTCTGAAGGTAGCACTGGAAGAGGCCAGTTTTGGTGTGGAAATTTGAGGTCAGTTTCAGACATGCTGAGTTTGATGTGCCTTGGGGAAGCGGAATAGCAAACAGGTTGGCAGCTGAATTCACAGAGGAAAGGTCTGGGCTGGAGATACAGGTGTGGGCATCACCGGATTACAGAGGTAATCAAAGCCATGAGTGTGGAGAAGTGGGCAGCCTGCAGTGAGAAGGGAAATGAGGCTAGGCCTGCCTTGAGGTCCTCTAACATTTAATGGACAGTGGAGGAGGATGAAACTGCCAAGGATAGTGACAGCAGGAGAGAGATCGGAGGAAAAAAGACTGCTTCAAGAAGTGGTTGGGTGCCATGTCAAAGGATGCTTAGGAAGAACTAACAATATTTGGTGAATGGATAAACAAACAAATGAAAGAATGAATGAGAACCCTCATGTGACATAGCCGGGAGTTGTAGACCTAGGACTCAGACCCTGGTCATCTTCAATGCTCTGCTCTTCCCCTCAAACCATGCTGACTCTAATGACATTCAATGAGGGAACCCTTCTTATAAAGGCTGGGGATTGAGCTGGGGTTTGAAGAAAGGCTGGGGTTTGCAGAGAGAAGAGTGGGTATTCCAGTTGGATTCAGTGGCACTGCCACAGATGTGGAGCCAGAGGTGGGAAAATCATGTTCAGGGAGCAGGGAGGTGGCTTGGCTCACCCCTTTACCTTTACTCTCATTTCCTCCTCCCTCTCAGCTTCTAAACCCTTGTTTCTCTTCCAGTTCCCTCCTCCTCTACTCCCACATCTGCTCCTCTCCATCTGCTACCCTACACAGGTTCTCACAATGCTTAAGCAACTGTCTGCCACCCTTGACTGCCCCTCCGCTGCCCCTCAGCTTGATGGGTCTGCTCTGTTGAAGCCGGGGCTATCACACCAGGAGTCTCTAAGCTCACAGCCTGCTTTATCCTATGTTCCCTTTTTAACCCCCAGGAGTTCAGCATTGGCCCCTACTGAAACTGCAGTATTCATTCATTAATCATTCATTCATTCAACAAATGACTAGTGACTGCCTGGTTCATGTCAGACACTGTCCGAGGTTCTTGGAATACATTGATGAACAAAACTGACAAAGACTCCTGCCCTCAAGTAGCTAACATTCTAGCCAGGAGAGACAGACAATAAAATAAATAAATTATATAGTATGTTGGAAGCCAACAACTGATATGGAAAAAAAATCACAGCAGGATAAGGGGATTTGGAAGTGTGGGGCTGGGAGTCAGGTATGGGTTTCAGTCCTAAATTGTTACCAAACATGGCTGACTTTTTCCAGGCCGAGTTGTTCCACTGCTTTCTCCACCTCCCTGCTGATCCTCCCCACACTCTGAGGTAGGCTTCACCCTGACAGCCCCACCTGCATCTTGAGCACTTTGACTTTGATGTCTCATCCACGCTCATGATCTTTGAGATTTTCATTGCACTAGCCTAAATGTCATAAATATCACAGCCCTCTGCAATCTGACTTGACCTGCCCACTCCTGCTGGCACTGTCACCTTCTGGGGACTCCTGGGTGACTTGGTTATACCAGTTCAGGTGTGTCAGCCCACGCTGCCTTGAGGGTGACTTGCTCAAGCTTGTGTAATTCCTTGAGTAGATAAGCCCTGTGATAGGATTGGGGACACAGATGTGAATTAAACTTGGTTTCTGTCCTTGAGATAGCTACAGCATAGTGTGGAGAAAAGTTTTCCAGCAGTTACTAGATGTTGTGCTAAGAGTTGTCCCAGAAACATCCTCTCTCTGCTCCACAGCAGAGAAGGCCTCCCAGGTGGGGCCTGGGTGAACCCCAAAAGATGAGAATTGGGAGTTTCTTAGACAGTGAAGGGGCCAGAGCACTCCAGACAGAGGCTATTCCCTCAGTTACAGTCTGTGTCCCTCGAGTGCATCTTCATCTCTTACTTTGTATTCCCCATCTGCCTAGCAGGTCATTTGCCAAGATTAGATGTTAATAAATGCTATATAAATCATTTGAAGCTCAGGGAGCAGTAAAATACAAGGCTTGACAGCTCTGATGAGGCCAGTTTTTGGAGGACTTGCATGCTTGGAGAGGAGCTTGGCCTTGATCCAGCCAGAGGTAAGATGAGCAAGGCCAAGATGAGGGAGCACTTTCGAAGAAGGCATTTGTCCTCTGCCCACAAAGGGTCCACGTAGTCTACTCCTAGGGGGAGCCCAGAGGCACTGGAAGGGGCAAGGGGCAAGGGGGCCCAGGAGCGGACCACAGAGGCATGCACCTTTTGTGTTGGCGTTGTTCGTTCTAACCTCTAACTCTTCACTGGGAAGGTGAGGACGCCTACCTCACACAGCCAGCTCATGAGTAGTGCGGGGACTGGAACCCAGGCCTCCATCATGCCATGTGCTCCTGCCTTGGCTCTCTGCTGAGTGCAAGCAAAAGTGGGATGCAGGAGTGGAAATCGTTCACAGCAGTTTGAGGTGGAGGAAACCATTGTGTTACAAGGGAAAGTTGATTGATCTAAAAGCCAGGAGCCTTGGGTTCCTTGGCCTTCGAGCACACTGTAGAAATTATTGAGTGCAGCCAAGATTTACACAGCCCTTCTTATTCTGAAAACTTGGAATATAGACAAGGGGCAGGACAAAGGCCTGGCTAAGAACCCAGGCTCTAGAATCAGATTACCTGTTTTCAGATCCCTATTCCTGGGTGTGACCTAAGGATTATTACCTGATTTCTATAAACTTCAGTTTCCTTATTTGTAAAATGGTGATAAAAGGATCTATTGTGAAATTGTTGTAAAGCACTGTAATGACTTAGCACAGTGTGATACAAGAGTAAACATTCCTCAAATGGATATCTTAAATAAAACAAATGTTGGGTCTTGGGAGAGGATGGGCCTGTGGGTTCTGATCTGGGTCATTGTTGTGGTGTGAAGCAGTGGGCTGTTTGAATGTGGATAACCACTGAGAGAGCAAGATATGGGGAGGTCAGAGCTTTGGGAGGGTCAGTCAGTTTAGGAGGCTGGAAGAAGAAGCAGAGTCAGTGAAGAAAACCAAGCCTAGGATTCAAGATGGAAGAAACCAGAAAAGTGCCAAGTCACTGAAGCCAAGGATGAGAGCACCAGGGAAGGGACACCTGTGCAGCATCCCCCAGGGTTGTAGGCCAGTGAAGTGAGGACGGAGCAAAGGCTCTGGGCCTGACTAGGCACAGCTAGAAAGTGTAGAATAGAGTTGGGGTGTTCTTTCTTCACTCCTAGTGGTGCCATGTGTATGTCCCTATCTTCTAGGGGTAGATGTGATAAATGGAGCCCTGGAGTCAGTCCTGTCCTCCAGTAGCCGTGAGCAGTGGACCCCAAGTCATGTCAGCGTGGCGCCTGCTACCCTCACCATCTTGCACCAGCAGGTAAAGACCTGGGTGGGGGAAGGATAAGACATGGCTCTGTCTTGCCATGGAGGGGAGACTCGGGCGAGGGGAAGAGCTGCCAATAAGATGGATGTGCCCGGTGGAACAGAGGGTCGGGCTGTTCCTTTCTAACTGGGTTCCCTCCCTCCAGACGGAGGCAGTGCTGGGGGAGTGTCGGGTGCGCTTCCTGTCCTTCCTGGCTGTGGGCAGAGATGTCCACACGTTTGCATTCATCATGGCTGCCGGCCCAGCCTCCTTCTGCTGCCACATGTTTTGGTGCGAGCCCAATGCTGCCAGCCTCTCAGAGGCCGTGCAGGCTGCGTGCATGGTAAGCGGGTAGGGTGGTGGAGTGGTGATGCCAACCCCACATGAGGCAGGCTGGAGAGTGACTGCCCCTCCTGCCTTTCTGCAGCTCCGCTACCAGAAGTGTCTGGATGCCCGTTCCCAGGCCTCCACCTCCTGCCTCCCGGCACCCCCTGCTGAGTCTGTTGCCCGGCGTGTAGGGTGGACTGTCCGCAGGGGCGTTCAGTCGCTGTGGGGCTCCCTCAAGCCCAAACGGCTCGGGGCCCATACTCCCTGAAGCCCTGAGTCCTCCTTCCACCTGCTTGCGTTGGGCCCCAGGGAACTCAAGGGTATGGGGCAGGGAGGAATCCTAGAGGCTATTCTTAGGCCTCAGGCCCCCCCAAAGCTGCCCCTCCCCAGTAGCTGGGGTTCCCTGCCTAGGGGCTGGGGAGGGAGAGATCTAATCCCTGCAAGGAAGCGACAATACTGGATTGATGACGAGAGGAGCAGGAAGCAAGGCCAGCCCCGAGCTCTTCATCCCCATGTTTCAGGTGGAGCAGGAGGAACTGGTTTAGGCCAGGCCCCATCTTCATAGAGTCTAGCAGGGGCAGAAGGAGGGGACTGGTTCAGGCATGGGTCCCCTCCCCCCTGCTCCGTGGGCACCTCTGCTGTACTGATATCACTAATAAAGTCTGTCTGCCCTGCTGAGCTGTGTGCCTTCCTGTGCCTGCCCCACACCATCTCCCCCAGTACAGTGATCCCTCAGTTAAGATCCAGTTCCCAAGGCCCCCTTGCCCTGCCTGCCTCAAAAGAAGAAATTGGGACAGTCACAGAAGCGTCTGGAGTCCAAGTCTCTTATCTTTATTTTAATAGCCTGGCAGGCAGGCAGCAGCAGCAGTACAGGTTTCCTGGCTGGCCAGCACAGGCCAAGGGTGACCACTCCCCTCTGGTTTGCCAGAGCAGTGCCAGCTGAGACCTCTGCTCCATGGCCATCAAAGGACACCAGCCCCAGGGCAGTCTGGATGCTGGGCACAGCCAGAGCAGCCAACCCCTCCCACATCTTGCTAAACCAGCTCCAGGAAAGGAGAGGGTCCTGTTTCCGGGCCGTGCCTGGGCCCGTGGATAGGCTCTTCCATCAGATGTTCTCAACACAGCAGCCCTCTGGGGGTTTTGCTCCTTTCCTAAGACACACACTTTCCCAATTCTGGGCCCTGGGAGTGCTAGCAGAACAGTGGCTGTAGCCACAACCTGTGGACATCAGGGAGGCCTGCATCGGGCATTAGGTGGCGACACAGAGCAGGGCTGTCTGAGCGGGCGGAGAGCTGGGCGCACAGAGTAGCGAGGCGGCAGGGGGTGCCGCAGGGCTCCGAGGGTGGGTGGCCCTTATGGTAGAGAAACCAGAAAGTCTGGAATAGCCGCGTGTCGCCCCGCATGCGGTACACCAGGTCGTGCCAGGCGGCAGGCAGCGCGTTGGGCAGTCCATAGGTTTCTCGGGCTCTATAGAGGAGCTGCCAGCGTGGCGTGGCTCCCACCTCATTCGCCTGCGTTAGGTTCAGGATGTAGGTCTCATGGTCCAGGACCACGTGAGAGCTCCCAGAGTAGTTGCCATCTATTTGGTAGACGCGGTAACCTGCAAGGAGGGAGGGCTGACTGGAGGGGGAAGGAGCAACCCTGGGGAGGGGCCATATGTCCCACCTGCCCCTGGCTCCCGCTTCCTCTCTCACCAATTTCCTCTATCCCAACAACTCCCTTCCACCTCACTCACCAGGATTAAGGCCGATGTAGGTGGTGGCACTGGGTGCCAGGAAGGCTACAGATAGCGGCCGGCTCAGAGTTTCCTCATCATAGAAGACCTCGAATTCATCCACGTGGGTGTGGCCAAAGAACTGACCAGCCAAGGTGTTCTCATACCTGGCCAGAAGATACTAATTACATTCGGAAGGTTGTAGGGAGCAAGGAGATCTGGAGAGAGAAGATGCTTTCTTTCTCCATACTGTTCAAGTAAGTACACTCTCCACTCGAATGGGACAGCAGGGATGGTGAGATGCTCAAGGGAATTTCCAACCTTTAGACTCTTCATCCCTCCACCCCGACCTTCCTCCTACCTGGTGACAATTCGGTAATAATTCCAGCTCCAGCTCTTCAGGCAGTGCCCTGGGGGGATGTGTCCGATTATATGCACCTGCAGAGAGAGCTGAGGTTATCAGGGCAGGAGGGGTCCAGGCAGTCCTGGCCAGGATAGTGGGTATTCATCTCTCCTGCACTGGCTGGCACCAGAAAACCAAGCTTGTCTGCTCACAGGGGCTCCAGCTCCAAACAAGAGTCTGCTTATGAGGGCCTGCTTTTCCCCACAAACCCCCATCAGCACCTACTCCACCGTGTTCCCACCACTCTCCCTCACTTTGTCTCCTCGATCCTCAGCGGCCTGAAGCTCCCCCACCAGCCACTGGAGCTGTCCAGCTGGATCTGTGGAGTTGATCAAGAGCCAGAAGTTCTCACGGGAACAAAAATTCATATTGAGAGAGATGAGGCGGAGGCCAGGGCGTGGGGAAAGGGCATAGAACCCCCCAATTCTGAAACAAAGTGAACATGAGGGGTCAACACTCGTTCATGATCCTGGTCCTGCATGCCCTGTTCCATGCTAGGCATCTGGGGGGAGGGGAGAGGCATACAGGACATCATCCCTAGCTTCAAGGAGCTCACATTCTAGCTGAAGACCAAACAGTACTGAATATGGGGCCCATGTGACTGAGGAGAGTGGTCACAGGGCTAAGGGCTCCAGGAGTTCAGGGGAGAGAGAAAAGTCAGTGAGAATAGGAAGCAAAGGCCATTTAGAGGGAAGATGGCCTGGGCCTGGGTAAGTTGGGATGTTAAAGAGGAGGAGAAGGCCAATGTAGCAAAGACACAGACTTGCATGGAGAGAGTATGCTGTCAGGCCTGTGACGGAGGGTGGCTGGAGATAAGGGTGGAAGTGGAAGGTAGGGTCAGATTAGGGAGGGCCAGTGAGGAGAGCGGAGGACTCATGCTAGGGCAGTCACAGATAATGCCCGGGGCCCCTGCTTCCTTCACTCTCATCCACCTTTCTTTTCCCTTCCTGGGTTTCCATGGACCTCAAGTACCTGAGTGTGTGAAGGGCTTCAGCAGGCAGCCAGGGTTCCCATGCCTTGGCCATCGCCTCATAGAGCCAGCGGGAAGAATAGTTGCCCTCTATGAAGGGGGGAGGGAAGCCATTGACAGGTGTGCTCTCATGGTTGCCTACAGCAGGGTATACAGGCACTGGCCCCAAGTACTTCTTCACAAGGGCTGTGATGGTGGTCAAGGCCCGCAGTTGGTCCTGACGAGACTGGTGCCAGACGTTGTGGGCGGGGATGTCTCCCGTCCAGTACACCATATCGAAGGGGCCAGCAGGGTCCAGCCCCCTCAGCAGGCTATCCAGGGTCCGCAGAGGCAAGTCACACTTGCTGTACTCGCCCCAGTATCCAGCACCCGGGCGGGAGGCGGGTGGCAGGCCAGAATCCTGGCGGCAACACAGAGGGTTCTCACAATCAGGGTCTGTGCCCTCCAGGTAGTCATGATCCCAGTGCAGGTCAGTGAGGAAGAGGATGCGGCTAACCGGGGCGCCTGGGGCTGGGGGGTTGGGTGGCTTGGGGGACGGCTTCGGCACGTCCGGCAAAGAGATATTCCAAGATGAGAAGATGTCCCAGTGCCCACAGGTGGAGCCCAGGAGCAGACCGCAGGCCTCAGAAGGGCTCAGCACTGAGCGTGTCCACACCTCCACCATGTCGTCCTCAAAGAGCTGGACAGCTGACTGGCACACAGTGGGCGGTGCTATCTTCAGCATCTTGCACAGCTTGATGGCCATAGAGCCCACCCAGGCCACACTGGCCTCCCTCTGTGGTGGGAAGAACCAGTGGTGAGAGGTCAGAGACAGAGCACAGGGACCAGGCCAACCTCTGGTTACTACCCGTTTAGCCTCCATATCCAAATGGGGCTGGGCTACACTCAGTGGCACCGTGGAGAAGAGACCTCAGTGCACCTGTGCCTCCCACAGACAGACATTGCTCTGTGACTCAGGCAGCACCACGCCAGTTCTCCTTCAGCTCAGTGGCCAGTGGCATTTCAGGCCTTTGCCTGCCCAGCTGGCTTTCTCAGATACTTCTGCAGAGTGCCGTGAAATTTGGGCTGGGCAGAACGACATACTGTCCAGGGTTTGGGAACACAGGAGGGCAGAGCTGTTTCCCTTGGAGCCCTGCAAAGCTCACCTACCAACTAGCTCTTGCCGTAACCCCATTAGGGTCAGGGCAGCCCCATCCAATCTCACACCCCTGGATATTTCTTAATTCAAGTCCCTTCTGAGTAACGAGTACCAGGCATGATTATGCTGGAGATGATTAAGTGTGAAGCAGAGGAAACTCAGTCAGGCATATCAGAAGGGAAGTACCAGCCCTGCCCCTCACCTGCTGTGTGCCCTTGGGCAATTGACTTCATCTCTGGGGTCTCTATTATTTGTAAAAATGGAGATAACAACTGTAATCAAACCACCTAGCAGGCTTGATTTAACCTGTATTAAATGGCTGGCAGTGTCCAGCATATTAC